GGTGAATTTTGCCTGGTCTGTGGTGAACCTCCATTTTTAAGGTCCAGTTCTCTTGCACTTCTCGAATATGTTGTTTTATTTGCACAGTTCTATTTGCAAATGTCATTTATCTGTATATTGGCCTCTTTTCTGTCCTTTATATTTACCTTCATTTCCCTCACTTTTGTCTGTTTGGGGAATTTCTCTGGTGTATATTCCACATTACTAACATCATTCAGAACAGTCAGTTCTGTGCTTTCCTTCTTCTGGTTATTTTGTAAAGATTTCAAGCAAAAATAATGTGTTGAACTTTAACAGATACCTTACCTTTAGCTTTGTCGCATCTAAGTATTAACCGTATGTGCTTCAGAATTTTGTTTTTGGAAGTTTAAAACCCTGTGTACTCCCAGTCAATGTAACTACTAGCCTGAATTTGGTTTTGGCCTTTATCATTTTAATACTGTATATATCAGTGAACAATGTACAGTGGGTCTAAGATGTTTTTAAACTTTATGTGAATGGTACCATACTGTGCTGTTGCTTCTCCAGTGTCTGTTTTTTTACTCAACATGATGTTGAGGACTTATGAATTAGCCCACTAGAGTGGGGAATGAGGGGAGGTCACATTTTTTTCATCCCTCGAAGAGTAATACAGGCTAAAAGTAGCTCTGGTTGGTCATTCACTGCAACTGTGGTATAGGACTCCGTTGTATGAATACACTGCAGTTCTCCTATCAATAGATATGTACGTTCTACCTGCTTAACTGTGGAAAACAATGCCTTTGAATATTCTGGACCTTTGTCTCTGCACACATGTAAGATATTCCCTAAGGTATGTACCTAAGAGTAGAATTGCTGGGGTGCACATACTAGATATTACCAAATTGCTTATCATTGTTTTACCAGTTTACAGTTTCACTAGCAATGTGTTAGCATTCTGTTGCTCTGTATCTTTATTGTTGAACTTAAAATTTTTTGATCTGGTGGGTATTATAGGGAATTTTATTTGGGCTTTGGTGTATTTCTCTGATTGCCAGTGAGATATAGAATATTTTTTATGTATTTGTTGACCATTCATTATTCCTGCTCCGAAAATTGTCTGTGTATCCTTTGCTTATATTTCAAAAGGGTTGTCTTTTTTTTTTAAATCCTCTTCTGAGGATATGTTTATTGATTTTAGAGAGAGAGGAAGGGAGAGAGAGAAACATTGATGTGAGAAAGAAACATTGATTGACTGGCTGCCTCCCTTACATGCTCTGACTGGGAATCAAACCCACAGCCTTTTGGTGTATAGGATGACGCTCCAATCAACTGAGCCACCTGGCCAGGGTGGGTTGTATTTTTCTTAAGTATTTGTGAGCATTCTTTATGTATGTGATCGTCTTATATTATATAGGTTACATATCTCTTTGTGGCCTTGTCTTTTCAAATGTGGCATTAGGCATACAGAAATTAAAATTGGAATGTAATAGAATTTTAAAAAATTGATTTGAAAAAGAGAGAGAGAAACATGGATTTGTTGTTCCATTTATTTATGCATTCATTCGTTGATTCTTATTTGTGCCCTGACTGAAGATTGAACCTGCAACCTTGGTATATCAGGACAACACTCTAACCAATTGAGTTACCCGGCTAGGGCCTGTAATAGAATATTTTGATATTTTCTTTGTTTGTGCCTTTTGTGTCTTTAATTAAAAAATCCTTCCCTCTTCTAAGGTTAGTCTTTTCTAAATATTTGGGTTTTAGTCTTTAATTTACCTAGAATTTATTTTTTAATATGGTATGAAGTGGCAATATAATTTATTCCTCCCTCCTGGACAGGTTTTTGCTCAGGACTGCTTTATTAGTCCATCCTTTTCTTACTGAGTTGTAATGACAGCTCTGTATTGAGTATTCATAGATCAGTAGAGTGCCAATGAATGTTTATAATTAACATTACTTTTTAGTTTCATTATATCTTTTCCATATTTAGTTGTTACCTTTATGTTTTTAATCCTTTTTATTTGTCCGTTCATTCAATCAGTCAATCAAGAAATACTTAATTGAATGTCTATTACATGGCAGACATGTTATTAGGCACTGAGACAGCTGTGAGTCAAATAGGTGCTGCCCTTTAGAGCTAAATTTCTAGTGGAGGAAAAACATAATACACACTATCCAGCAAATTGATAGTATGTCCAAAGATGATGAAGTGCTCTGTAGATGTGTCTGTGAGGGAATACATGTATAGTACATTGGGACAGTAGGCTATTTTATAGAGGGGCCAGGAAAGGCCTAATTCATAAGAAATCTGAAGAATGAGAGGGAATAAGCCAGCTGGTATGGCAGTCTCAGGGGAGAAAATTACAGGCGGAGGAGGAACAAGGGCAAGCCTCTGAGGCGGGGCATACTTGACATATAGGTATTTTATTTATTTAAGAAAAATTTTTAACCTGAGGATCTTTTTTCCCATTGATTTTTAGATAGAGTGGAAGAAAGGGAGGGAGGGAGGGAGGGAGGGAGGGAAGGAGAGAGAGGCATCGATGTGAGAGAGACATTGATTGGTTGCCCCCAACCCCGAACCCGACTAGGGCTCTAACCCAGATATATGCCCTTGATGGGAATCAAATCCAAAACTCTTTGGTTTGTGGGCTGATGCTCTAACTGCTGAGCCAGACTGGCCAGGGCAACATAAATGTATTTTAAACTTAATTTAGTTTATGGTCTGGGATTATTTAAGTATCTAAAACTTTTTTTTTTTTTTTTAATCCTCACCTGAGGACATTTTTGCATCTATCTTCAGATAGAGCGGGAGGGAGGAAGGGAGAGAGAAACATCGATGTGAGAGAGACACATCGACTGGTTACAACTCACATGACCCCAACCGGGGCCGGGAACAAACTGCAACTGAGGTACGTGACCTTAGCGGGAACCGAACCCAGGACTCTCTGGTCTGCAGGCCGACGCTCTAACCGCTGAGCCAAACTGGCCAGGGCAAGTATCTAAAACTCTTAAGGGTGAGGCCTCCTTTTTATTGTCTGCTGATTCTCATTTATGATAAGACAGAACTCATCTATATTGGTTCCTGTTCTCTAGATCTGTGTTCTCCAAATGTATGTGGCATTTAATGTTTTAAGTTTTTTTCAGATATTGTGTAGTCAATTCTGTAATGTATCAAGAGGTGATATAGCATCACAGCCTTTATTCTTCTTAAAAAAATTGATCTTTAAAAGGATTCTTAAAATCTGGCTGTGAGTTTCCATTTGGGATTCTAATGTTCTGTCGTTTGTGAGGGCACTGCTCTTTGCACCTTGAAACTTTTCCATTGCTCCTGGACTTGCTTTCTTAACTCACTTACTCTGCTTTGAGCTTTACCTTCACATCTATCTGCTAAATATTAGTTTTAAACTAAAAATTATATTCCACATTTTAATCAATGTCTGGACACAGTCTTATTTAAAAAGATATCCTGGCCCTGGCCGGTTTGGCTCAGCGGTTAGAGCGTCGGCCTGTGGTACTGAGAGACCTGGGTTCGGTTCCCGCTAAGGACACGTACCTCAGTTGCAGTTTGTCCCCAGTCCTGGTTGGGTCGTGTGGGTAGCAACCACTCGATGTGTCCCTTTCATGTCGATGTTTTTCTCTCTCTCTCTCCCTCCCCCTCCCACTCTTTCTGAACAAAATATCAAAAAATGTCCTTGGGTAAGGATAAAAAATAAATAAATAAGATATCCTGGCTGGTTTGGCTCAGTGGTTAGAGCTTTAGCCCTGGGACTGAAGAGTTGCGGGTTCGGTTCCTGGCCAGGCGGGTTTGATCCCTGGCCTGATGGGGTTATTCAGGAGGCAGCCAGTTGATGTCTCTCTCTCATTGGTGTTTCTCTCTCTTTCCCTCTCTCCCCTCCATTCTATCTAAAAAGCCATGATAAAAATATCCTTGGGTGAGGATTAATAAAAAGGGGGGAAGGGGAGTTTGTCATTTAATTGAATTTCATGATGTTGTGATTTCTAAGAAATATATATTTGGTCATTCAGATGACCAAAATATATTTCTCAGATATATCTATGTGGTGTTTGTCTGAAGTTCCTGGCTTACAGCTCCCAAACCCTTGGAATTTCCTAAGTATTGAGAGAGCGGTCTTTCGTCATGTTAAGGAGGCAACTTTCGGAAAGCACCCAAGGATGGGGCTGGTTGCCAGTGGGGTCAGTCTTGTGATTAAAGAGTTGGAACTTTCAGTCCCACCCCCTGACCTCCCTGAGGGAAGAGGGCAGGCTGGAGGTTGAACCCACTGCCTGTGGAATGAAGCCCCCCTAAAAACCCCAAAAGGATGGAGTTGGGTTGAACCTGTGGAGGTGCTAGAACAGTGACACACCTAGAGAGGGCATGGAAGCTCGCGCCCCTTTCTGTGTCTTGCCCAATGCATCTCTGACTATTCTTGGGTTATACCCTTTTTTAATAAACCAGTAATATAATAAGTAAAATGTTTCTCTGGATTCTGTGAGCTGCTCTAGCAAATTCATTGGACCCAAGCCTCTGATTTATAGTCAGTCAGAAGTACAGGTAACAACCTGAACTTGCATTTGGCTTCCTGAGTTGGAGGGGTAATTGGAAACCTCCAATTTGTAGCTCCTCAACCTGGGCTTGTGATTGGTGCCTGGAGTGGGGAGTGCAATCTTGTAGGACTGAACCGTCAACCTGTGGAACCTGATGCCATCTCTGGGTAGATAGTGTCAGAATCGAGTTGAATTCTTGGATACCCATCTGATAACTGAGAATTGCTTGTTGGTGTGGGGAACCGTATCGTATGCCTGCACACACACATGCACACACATGCACATTGGGTTCAGGAAATGATTTAGATGTTAATCTACCTAAATCGTCAGGCCAGGAGTACTTAAGTGACATGAAACTTTCAGTGGATCCTGTACTGTTAAATATTTGTGGGTCTGGGTAAGAAGAAAATGATTAGGGTAGGTTGGCCAGTTCTCTGACTCACTTTCTATATTGTACTTGTTAGATCCCAGCAATGCTCTTATTTTCTTCTTAGTGGACGAGAAAACCAATACCCACCTCCTCCTTGGCATGTGCTTAGATGCTTTCGCTCGCTACCTTCTGTTCTCCAAGCATCCATCACAGGCACAAAGGATGTATGAAAAAGCTTTGCGTATTTCTGAAGAAATACTAGGAGAAAGACACCCACAGGTAAGAGCGGAAGACAGAGGTTTCAGAATTTCTGGGTGTGAAATGCCACACTTGTTGAGAATGGATAATCAACGGATGGTCCTTGCTATATCTTCCTCGTGCCCTAGTCCATTCATTTTCCTGCCACCGTTCTCCTACCCCACCTACTTGTTCCAAAAAGGATTTGAGACTGATGATCAATTCCTGGGTCTGTCCAGACATTTTGAGTATTGGTTTATACAGCAGGTCCAGCCAGGCACCCATGTGCTTCTAGGGCTTCGGAGTACACAGCACAGTGTTTCAGAATATTGAATCTTGTGTGGAATGCTTACCACCTGAAAATCCTTGCTTCCCTCGACCCAGAGGTAAAATGACAGGAAACTGAAAGAAGGAGGGACTGTCAAAAAAAATTTTAAACCACTGACAGAATTTAAGCACAGCATGCAAAGCTTTTTGTTAGAACACTGAACACATTGAACTGAATTGAAATAATCTCTGTGTCTCTCCTCTATCAAATAAAGTTTGTGAAGGTAACAAGAGGATCACTTTGTGAACGCTTGGCACCGCCAGCGAAGAACACAAACATTTTAACTGGGCCGAACATGTCCCAAAGCTGGGGTAGATGGGCAGGGCAAGTTATTGGGCTATAAATTATGTTCAGGAAAGGGATTTAGGATAGAGCCCCTTAATGCCTCTTTTAGAATCAACATTTAACCTCTTAATGGGAATCTTTCTAAAATGGATTATCTATTTCTTCCTGTTCTTCTTCTTCTTCTTTTTAAGAGTATTTGTTCTTTTTTTTTGTGGTACGTGCTCCTAGCAGGAACCGAACCTGGGACTCTCTGGTCCGCAGGCCGATGCTCAAGCACTGAGCCAAATTGGCCAGGGCTATTTCTTCTTGATGAGTCTCGGGGTCACCTGTAGGAATGATGTACTACGATACAGCTCCAGGGGCTGGCTTCTTAAGATTGCTGAACCTGGGGTGGGAGCTGGGAGGAGGGTGTCGATGGGGAAAAAAAAGGAAGGGCATCTGTAATACTTTCAACAATAAAGATAAAAATAAGAAGTGGCATTTTTATAGACCCCATGATAAATAAATCCTAAGTTGATGTTATGGTAGCAACATAACACTGAGATAATCTTTTCCCTTTATAAAGATTTTATGAACTTAAACTATTAATGGGAAGGATGTGGGGGAGGGAGATTGCTGAACCTCCCCTGTGCCCTGTAGCTCAGTTGGTTAGAGCATCAGTCGCTAAGGTTGCGGGTTTGATCCCCGGTCTGGGCACATACAAGAATCACCAAGTGAATGAATAAATAAGTGGAACAAATCTGTGTCTCTCCTCAAATCAATTTAAAAAAAAGATCGCTGAACCTTAAATGAGATAGCCTAGCTTTTTTTTTTTTTGCTGTTATTTGTTTCTAATATAATTATATTTATAAATTATATTCCTCCTGTTCCCTAGTTCCTAGATTTGTATCCTTTTCCAGAGGGTCGAACCAGTGCTGTCCATCACAGTGTGAGTGATGAAGCACAGGCAGCGGAGCCTTGGCTCTCCAACTTCATTCCTGCCGAGAGGCTGCTGAAGAAACAATTTGTTTGAAAACCGAGTCCTTTTTTTCCCATTGGAAGTAATGTAAATTGAATTAATACGGTCCAGACCCACAAATGATTCCATTTTAACCTTTCTTGTATATAGTATGTGCCTAATATACTGTTTAATCTATAAACACACTTCCTATGTTAATCGAACCACCACCCACACCAGCCCTCAACCAGTCACTGCCAGGGCCTGTCCCAGGGTGTCCTTCAGGTCAGCACACAGCTCTGCTGCTTCACACCCCCTGCCTCTCAAATGCTGCACCGGCTGAATGCTTTCCATTTACTCAAATTAGCAACAGCTCTTCTACCTCTTCAGTTGCCTGTGGTCAGTCTCTTTCACACCCTTAGCAACATCAGCTCTCTGGATGGCCTCGTTTTAAAATTGTGCTTATCATCCATTTCACCAGCAACAAAAGCACTCTCCTTTGTTTGTTGCCTGAGAGATGATTTTTGTCATGCTGAGGGATCAGCATGAAAGGGTTGTCACATTTTTATTGTGAATAACTTGGTCCAGAACTGAACTGTTTGAGATGGGAGACATCCCAGAACCCAGGTTTAACTGTGTTTGTTAATGGCTGATGTCCCTCCCCTTTTGTGGAATGCTAGGAAAGATGAAATCTTAGGTATGTATTTTAAGTTTATCAAACTCCAAAGTAACATTAAATCTATGTAGATGTTTTTTAAAAGAAAAAGCTGCCTATTTTTTCTTTCTTATGTAGACCATTGTGCTAATGAGTGACCTGGCGACCACCCTGGATGCACAAGGCCGCTTGGATGAGGCCTGTGCTTACGTGCAAAGGGCATCAGATCTGGCAAGACAGACAGAACATCCTGAGCTACACATAGTGCTCAGTAATCTGGCTGCAATTCTGATGCACGGAGGTAGGGAGCTATGAAATCTGGACTGACTTGCTTTAGGGAGGGGTGTTACTAGATATATAAATCTGTGAAATGGTATTGAGGGATGGCAAAGAGCAGTGAGGAGGCTCCATATTAAAAGGCTGGCTGAGCCCTGGCCAGTTTGGCCCAGCGGTTGAGCGTTGGCCTGCGGACCAGAGTCCTGGGTTCGGTTTCCGCTAGGGGCACACACGCGCTGGCTGAGTAATACAATCCTGGGTTCGGTTCCCACTAGGGGCACATCACACACACACACACGTGCTCAGTAATACAAAAAAGGATGTATGTTTGGCTGAAATACCCTTGTGCTCTATTCACAGAACTTCTGTCCTGCATGAGCTTGTTGAACTACTTCAATGTAGAGAAAACTTTGCAGTGATAGTACCTCATTTCTGTATAGTGCATTACAGATTTCTGAACTTTTTCACATGTACAGCTTAATTTGCTGCTAACAGCGTACGTATGAAGCTGGCATGATGGAGCATCAGTTTGCTGGACATACTGCGCCATATTACTCAGGGCCTCGTGATAAGTTCCAGAAACCATTGGTGAAGTCCTTGGCCACTAGGAGTAAGGGCCCCAGAAGTGTACTGGGCACAGTCAGGAGTCCCACAGCACGCACTGGGTTCTCTACACCTGAGCCTGCTTGTCCAATGGGGGTGAAATGAGGCACCACCGGTCTGTCACCTAAGCAGCACACGATAAATTAGACCCGTATCAGCACTAGTGCTTTCTGTTCAGAATCACTTTAAAAACTTTTCTTATTCTCCCTTCTTTCTGGGTTATTTTAGAACGATATGCGCAAGCAAAAGAGATCTACCAGGAAGCACTGAAGCAAGCAAAGCTGAAAAGAGATGAGGTTTCTGTGCAGCACATCAGGGAAGAAATGGCTGAGCTGTCCAGAAAAAGTAGACCTTGACCAAACCTCACCAAGCTCTACATCCCTTTCTGTTGTAGGGAATTTTCAGTAACAGCTTATACTTCCAGTCTCAGTGGCACCCACATCAATGGCTTGAATGAATCAAAATTATACATTTGTCAGATTGGCAAAAAACAATTTTTGGTGTGTCACAGAATTTTAGTAATTAGTTTGTTTGCCATTAGATGGAAAGGACTGAAAATCACTGGCCTGAATTTTGTCCTTGTTCCCTCAACTTACTCTCAGTGAAGGACAAATTAAACACTGCCACCCCCCACCCCACCCTTTTTAAGGGAAAACAACTTGCACCTGACTGATTTTGACTTCTGAGGATGTCAAGTGCCGTTTAGGTCGTAGCATCTTTAGGTGCTGTCCATGCTGGTCTAACTACATTACGATGGGTCTGCTTCCCCTGGGTGGGTGATTCACACAGGTACCTCTGCCACAAATAGGACTGTGGTCCATTGATTTATTGCCCTCTTTTACTTTATCAACATCTGGCAGACAAGAGATTCCTGCCTCATGGCAAAAGGGGAATTATGGTGAGTTACTTTTCTTATAATTTATTTCATGAAGCCCACTGTGCATTTTAATGCATAGAGGGGGAAAGATAATATCCTGTGTTTGCCACCAGTATCCAGCATAACGTTTTAAAGGGGAATTAGGCATTTGAAAGTATAGCATCTTATGTGATTATAAATAGAAGTGAACTATATGTTTATTTATGTATCTAGTTATCAGGAAAAGGGAATGATATAACCTCTTGTTGTCAGTGCTATCTGAGCACTCCACTTACTTGGCAACCCAGGCCATGGAACGGTCACCTGCACCCAGAACATTCTGGTGCAGGGTTGGCCCTACAGCATCCCCAGGAGTGCCAACATGTACTGCAGGTTCAGCAGAAGCATTGCTGGCCTGGGTCCTAGTCCTGATAGGTTGCTGTGTTGAAATAACTTTATTTTATCCCCTCAAAGTCTAGAAAGAGTATGCAGATACTCAACTTTATGATGGATTTATCATAAATTGAAAATATTGTAAAAAATGTATTGAATGTGCCCCAGCTAGGTGGCTCAGTTGGTTGGAGTGTTGTCCTGTGCACCAAAAAGGTTGTTAATTCAAACCGCCGTTGGGGAGCATATGGGATTTCTATCTCCCTTCCTGTCTTTCTAAAATCAATAAACATATCCTTGGGTGAGGGTTAAAAAAAATGTATTCAACACATCTAACCTACTGAACATCATAGCTTAGCCCAGCCAGTTTCTACTGAGTACTTATTACTTTTTATCATAGTAAATCTGAAAAAATTGTTAAAGTCGAACCACTGTATGTCAACTGTCTGCAAATACAAAATAAACAGATGGGTGTTTTTACTTAAGCAATCTTGCAAAGAGCCGTTTGCCTAAGGGAAACGGCCACTTTTCTAAGTACCATGAAGGAACACTGTTGTCATTGTATGCCTTTGGGGTGGGTTTGTAACTGGGATTGATAAACTGGTATTTTTTGGTTCCTATGTACATACTGGAAGAATCCTTTCATAATAAACTAGAGACTACAACAATATTGCATGTATTCCGTAATCTTTGAGTTTCTCATAAACAGTAACTTACTGAAGAGAAGAGCTAAATGAAAGTATAAGGTCCAAATCCTCAAGAGATTTGACTAAAAGTAGAATTTTACCAGCCAGCTAAATTCCTTTTATCAAGTCTTAACTCAGAGAGAGAAACTGTAACATAAAGCAGACTAGGTTTCAGTGCAGCCCATTCTTTATTGGTGATTAAAAAACTATTGTCAACTACTCACCTTCTGCATTTACCTTTTCACAGTTGCAGGAGTTACCGAAAGTTAGGTTTTTCACTTCAGGTTTTATTTAAGAATTTTTGATCCTTCACAATGACTCAGCTTATGGTGCTAGTGCTGGAAAAACTGGGAATTTTCAGAAAGACAGTCTCTTCATGTGAGTGTTCTCATTCAAGTTCATTTGTATTGTTGTAAAACAAGGTAGCAAAGCAGGGACTGACCCCTTTACTGGTCATATCACTAGAGTGTCCAGGGCATATTTTAAAATAGAATCATTCAGCATATCAAAATTAAAGCCTTATGAAACTTTCAGTTATAAACATGCACGGAAAATTGGGCTGTCAGAATATTTCTCAAAACAGCATTAGGAAGACCTTAATTTAGTCTGGGTGCCAAGAAATCATGCGTAAGGATGTAGCTTCTGAGCACTGAACCCTCAGCCTGCAAAGAGCGTCCGTCACACATTGGTTTACTGCTAACTTCAACAAGTATCAGTCCCTCTCAGCACTGTGCTTGCTGTTTTCAGTCATGCTAAGGTGGGCCTCTTATCCCTCCCAGGTTTGCTCCAGAGGCAAGACGTGGAGAATTCTGAAGTCTCTTCTCCAGGTGATGGTAGATGAAGTAAACACATGCACTGTGATAAGGATGGGGTGAGTGATTGACAGCTGCTCACTTTGGGGTCAAGTGGAACTGCAACAGTAACAAGTTCGGCTCTGATTTGAGATGTGGTCAAAAACTATTGTAACTTGGAATTGCTTAAGACCGACCCTCAGGGTCATAGAAAAATACCATCAGAATCTATTTTGGGTCAGTTGACAATATAAATTATTAATGACATCAGTACCTAAATAAAATTTCAGCACAACATTAAGTAAAACATTTACTGTTTTTTTTCATTCACATTAAAATGTGTATGATATATAGTTATAATAAAGTGAAACCAACTTTCCAAGTAGTAGGAATCTGATCACTAAACCTGATCTCAAGTTTATTCTGAGGACCTCAAGTATACAAGAGTGGGATGAACAGTAACAGGAGTGAAGGCTTTAACTTCAGACAAACGAGTTCATGGCCTGTCTTTGTCACTTAGGTAACTATACAGGCAAAGTACTGAGCCTGCGTCCTTATCTATAAAACAGGGATTAGACACCAGTGCTACAGGGTGATGTGAAGGTCTCGATCACACATGGAAACACTTCATTACAAGAAGGCAGTCAGTGGTTATAACAGACCTGTTTTCTTCAGAGGCTTGAGTACTTTTGTTTAAAAGTTGAGGTCTACTTGAAGGTCTGTAAAGTGCTGATTTTTACCATCCTGAGTGACCTCTATTTCTCCCTTTTGTAATCAGTGGCATTCTCCCCAAACTGTGCAGTATCCCTATGCTACAGAAGGGGGCTTCAATGCTATGCCTATGTTGTATGGGAAAAAATCTTAAAAATTCAAAAAGCAATTGTTAGTAAAGGTTAAAACCAACCCTCCAGTACCATAATCAGTTTAAAATTCAGTCTTAACATTATTTGCTCCTTGAAATTCAGTGAAACGAAAATATTCAACGACAGACCCTTGCCTACAAGGAATCAGAGCGAGAGGAAGCCCTGGGAAAGAAAGGGGAAGGGCTGTGGGTTCACCATGAGAGTTGAGGATACGCAGCACAAAGCAATCTAAACGACCGAGTTCTGCACAAATCAGTATCTTCTGACACAACCAGTAACACATGTCCAACTAAATAAAAGTGTATGTTTTTTCTTTGAAACCTGAGACAGCAAGAGCCTTAAATCACAACTTACTGTACCTGTGGACAGGGCAGTCAAATTTATTTCAAAAGAAAAGCTTTGTTGTACTGCATCAAATGCAGAAGAAAAAGAATACTCGGGCATGGTTAAAACTGCCAGTGTGCATAACAGTGAGGTATGCCTCAAATAAGCCTTTAAAACTTTAAAAACTGAACTAAAACATACCCATGCAGTAATATTTTAAGTGCTGATAATTAAAAAGATTTTTTAAGCCTGCACTGGAAATTTACAATATGGCAGAATTTTGTTTCTTCTACCTTTTGGCCGTAACACGTTAATGTACAGATTTCATGACAGCGTCTGTGTTAAAAAGCTAAACATTTCCACAAGATTTTAAATATCACCTGGGAACCTGAATTTAGAGGAAACAAAATAGGATAAAAGTACAATGCCCGTGACAGCCAACATTATGTAACTGGGCTGTATGAGGTTCTTTAGAAGGCAAGGGTTAAAAAGATAGACAAGATTTTTAAAAATTGCCCCCAAAGTTGATGCTCTGATTTGAACATAAGTACACCAGATACTATAGTAAGGGGAAACACTGCAAAAAGATAATCTATTTACAGATGACTGATTTAAAGACATGGTTTTCTTTACAGATGTAAGAACAAGAATTGTCCACGTTTAAAAAATTCTACATTTCAACCTTCCACTATTATTATAATCCACTGAACTGCCTGTATCAAAGGCAATTTTTCTCCTCCATTAGACTCTTCGCAATTCCATCATTTCTTCATCGTCCATGGTCCAGGCTCTCCTGAAAAGTCTCTGGGCATAAGTCATGGGAAGGCAGGTTTTTGACCTGCAATTGAAAATAAAACCAAAAACTAGAGATCCCTCCTCCACACCCTGTCCCCACCAAGACCCCTTTTCTGCGCAGTTCAGTCGTCACTGTCCGACAGTGTCTCGTATTGTGCCGAGAGCAGCGGGGCAGGCTCTCGCTCCCAGATCCTGCTCTGCTGGTGCGGAGCTGCCTGGGTCACAGAAGAGGGGGCGCACGCGATCGGTGTTGGTGGTGTGCTGCTGAGCATCCGCATAGTCAGAGGGTTGTAAGGAAACTGAGTTGAGCCTGGCAAGATAAAAATGAGATAGATATGCTAGAGAAGTGTTTTTCATCTGCCTGTATAGACAGTAAGCAAGAAAGAATGGCTTTTTAAACTATTTCCCCATTTCTGACTTATCTCCTAGTGCTCCCTGAGAACCTCTGGCAGACAATGAAAGGGGAAGCTGCGGTGGGAGTGGCACTGTACATTTAAGCCAAATTCATAAAGAACTGGGCCACAGACTCACTCGCTTTGCAAACAACACATGCTGGCTACCAGCATAATACAGAAGGACAGAGAATGGACAAGGTATTTTTCACAGCTCTTCTTTGGTTCATGGTAATTAGACCCTGCATTCTTAACATTTTTAAGGTTGTATGTATTCCATTTCTATTCTGGAAAGTGAGCCTATTGATGATACAGTAATGGAAATACAGTTTTACAAGCAAAGTTTCGTATTTTAGAAGTACTAACCAAGGCATTCATATAAACTGCTTTAAGACTCATTTTCTAGCAGTAAGTTCCATACCTGTTGAAGAGGGTCTGTCTTCCCAGGCCCACCCTGGAGTCTGCCTGTGGTAATCTCCTTCCGAATGCACAGAGGAGACTGAAGAGGGCCGTTCAGTTCCTAAGTATCCTTGCCCAGGGATAGGAGATTTAGATTTCCTGCTGTTTGACTTGCTGATCAGCTTTGGTTTGCAAACTCCTAGAAGTGAAATAAATAAATAAATTTTTGATATATTATGTTTATGTTCTCAACTTAAAAACCTACCAAGCCACCCTGACTGGTTTGGCCCAGTGGTTACTGTTGGCCCACGGACCAAAGAGTTGCGGGTTCGATTCCAGTCAAGGGCACATACCTTGGTTGCAGTTTGGTCCCAGCCCTGGTGGGGGTCGTGTAGGAGGCAACCAGTCAATGTGTCTCTCATATCGATGTTTCTCTCTCTCCTTCCCACTCAATCTGAAGATTAATGGAAAAGTATCCTGGGTGAGTATTAAAAAAACAAAACAAAAAAAACCCACCAAGCCCTGGCCAGGTGCTTAGTTAGCGCGAGCGTGGTTCCATGCCCTGAAGGGTTGCTGGTCTGATTCCTGGTTGGGGCACATACCCAGGTTGCAGGTTACTACCAATCAATGTTCCTCTCACATATATATTTCTCGTCCCCTAACTCCCCCCCACCCCCAAAAACAAAACCCTACCAAAACTCTGATGGCTGTAAAATGCTAAGTGAAAGAAGCTTAATGGTAGCATAAAAAAACCCACATCCCAGTATCCAATGGTAAAAATATTTAAAAGAAAGCCAACTAAAACAAAAAAGGGGTATGTCCTTATGCCATAAACTTAAAAACATGTAACCAAGGAACTAAAATTTGTGCAACATCATTTCTTTCCTGGCCTTGGAGCCCAGAAACTGCTAAGGAAATTAAGGCAGGTTGACAAAACTCTTAAATCCTCACTACCCCTCCCCCACCAATTTAGAAGCACATAGAGGAGTTATTACACAGCCCAAAGAGAAAATTCAGAAGAAAACAACTGCAAATAGAAACCCTTTCAAGGCACTACTGGAACTCAGCAGAAGCTTGGCAGTCTTGGTGACCCCTTCTGTTTTTCCATGCTGCGTAGTCTGTGAACTCGGCAAACTCCCAAGAATAGGTTGCCCCGACTGGACTCCAACATAAAACATTAAGAAGATCTAACAGATCAGAGCCTAGATCCTCAGCAGTCTTCCTCAGCCCAGCAAGACAATTTCATCCTGCCCCACGCCCTTCAGTGTACAGAAAAGTGGGTAGAAAGCAACTTCTACACCTTGAACTCTTTGGAAAGGAATGCAAGACCTTGGTGATGAGAGAATATAATAGAACAAGGAGGAAAGGTGCTTCATATACTGAAGAGAAACTTCAAAATATATGAAGCCATTTTACAAAAGAAGCTCAAAGAATAGATAAACCAAGAATGAGGTGAAAATACTTAGAAAACAAAATTCAGCAAGGATCATAATAGACATAATGAAAAGGGAATTATTAGTACAAAGGAAAAATCTGAGATACAGGAAAAACAGAGATCAAGATGACTAAAATAATTAGAAGGCAACAGTTACGGAAGACAAAGACTACCCAGCAAAAAGATAATCATGCTTCTGGAATGGAAAGCCTAACAAAGGAACAATTTAGGAGGAGCACTTAATAGAACACTTCCCTGAGTATAAAAATCTACCTGAAAATGCAAACGCCCGCCTGTGATCAGAAAACTCTGATACAAAATGATGGATACTAACACATGCTGAGAGTTAATTTATTGAAACTGAGGAAAAAGGGATTCCTCAGGCAGACAAATTGTCACCTGCCAAGGGGTGAAGGATGGGGAACATCTGGCCTTATTTCTTACATAACAATGAATGCCAGAAAAAAAAATTACCTAAAGGTCAGCATTATTTCAAGGTAAGTCTACAGGATGTTTGGAGAAAAGTATGTGTTGAGAATATTATAACCTGCCAAGCTGTCATTTCAAAAACACATTATTGAACATGAAATTTCTTGGAATATAGCACCTTCTCTCAGAAAATGTGAAGTGTGAAAACCTCACCAAAAAGAAATGCCATAATAAAAAAGATGATACATCCAGGATAATTATAATTGTGTAACAGTTACCAATATTATAACCTTAAAATACACACACACTAAAACCAATGAAAATCAAAGGTAAGAACAGGAAGGGGAAGACAAAGCTCATCTTTCAGACCAGGAAGTGAATCCATATTGTCCTAAAATTAATATATGTAGGTAAAAACAATAAATAAAAACCTCAACCGTTTTATTGACCTTAGTGAGATCTTTTGCTTGACAATAACAGGACAATGAACTTAAACCAAACCTTGAAATAATGCTGACCTTTAGGTAATTTTTTTTTTTTTTTGGTACATGCCCCTAGCAGTAACCAAACCCAGGACTCTGGTCCGCAGGCTGTAGCTCCAACTGCTGAGCTAAACCGGCCAGGGCTAGGTAATTTTTTAAGCATGAAAGAAATTCAAAAGACTAAGAAAAAAAGGTTATAAACAAACATTAGAAGCTTAGAGTCGTGTGTGTATGTGTGTGTGCGCGCTTGCTTTAAAAGAATGTACAAAATGATTTCATTATTTATCCTTCTATATGTCTATCCAGTGACATGCCTGAAATGGTGCTCATTCCTCAAACAAGAACACTAAGAGCTTACTAGCTTAATAATGTGATCACTAAAGATTTCTTTTTTCCTTTTTTCTTACTATTTTCTATGGTATAAAATTCTTTCATATGTTCATACGGAACCTATCATTTTTATTACAATAGTAAATCACTTTTATTCAAAAGAAGAATATAAAATTGCACTTGAATTACAATAACGTATGCACAAAGATAAGCAAACAAAAACAGATATGCTGGAGGATGACATTTTAGAGAAAAATTTTTGTCCTTATTTCTGTTCATGTTACTAAAATGTCTCATCAGATTAAAAACATCTTTTTTTTTTTGCATTTTTTTTTTAATCTTCAGATAGAGTGGGAGGAAGAGAGAGAGAGAAACGTCGATGTGAGAGAGACACATCAAGTGGCCGCCACCCACACGACCCCAACCGGGGCCAGGGACAAACCGCAATTGAGGTACGTGTCCCTAGCGGAAACCGAACCCGGGACTCTCCGGTCCGCGGGCTGACGGTTTAACCACTGAGCAAAACTGGCCAGGGCTAAAAACATTTTTTAAATTAACTAAAACCCTCAGAGATTATTCAGAGCTCATAAATGAAATCTCAGAGTGACGTATCAGAACTTGGGGAGTAAGCTGGCTTTTTCTTGGCAAAGGAAACCAGAGCACTAAAATGAAAACCTTACCTGAATGAGGCGATGGTTCCCCTTCTTCTCTCCGCGTCTCACCACTGGTCACGACTGAGGTGTTGGCACCACCAGGCACTACTCCCATAGGCTGGGACAGGACAATGCCATGATCCTCAACCTTGTCATCAAAGCTCCCCATGAGAGCCTTCCTGATAATGTCTTCCAGACCGAGATTATTGGTAGGATCCGCAAAAGAATGACCTCGAGAGCTAACTGAGCCTGAAAAAGACATCCATGATATTTCTGCTTATTTCTGAGAGGTCAATCAGGAAACAGAAATGAACAGTCCTTTGGTTCACTGAATATATACAGTACCTAGCAAGTTGCCTAAGAGTCCACATAAATGCCATCTAAATCCACCAATAACTCAATGAAATTTGTTTTTCTTTGCTAAATGAATCAGTCACCCACTTGTGTTAAACAGTATTCTTCTCTTTTCTGTTTCCTAGTTTCTATGTTGTTAATAGTTTTGATTCTCTTTGTTCAATTATCTTTTCAACATGTATTTATTGAATTTCAATTCACTTTTATTGCTACTATCTCCTTGATTAAACTGTGAGCTTTGAATAACTTCTGTATACTAGAGTAGTCCCCTAGGATGCAGTCAGTACTCAATACGTATTTGTTGGACTGACAAATACCATACCGATTACATATTGCAAATAATGTATTTTGAATCTTACCTGAGGTAGTGACTGCTGGCAGATTAAAGATCTCAGTTCCTGGCTGAGCAGCTGCTGTATTTAAATAAACATTCAAGTTAACTGAGATATGATAATCATAAACATCAAAAAAGATTAAGTCTTAACATTTTTTCCTACAATAAAATTAACTGTTTTCCACGATCTCAACCTTATTTTTCACCCATTAATATAAAGTGAAATAAACAATCTTTTATTTTAAAAAAAGGAAATAAAAATTTGGGCGAGGTAGGAAAATCAGAACAGGACTAATACAACACAGAGGAAGGAAAGAGACTGCACTGCTGGAGAAACACACATTGGAAAAAGGTGCTCTCAGACAGTAGTCCTGGCTGGCTAGAGAAGAAAGCTTGGGTTCTAAGATGACTCCTGCAAATATCAACAGATTTGAGGCAGCCTGAGATTAGATCCAGGGGAAAGACAGCTTAACGAAGAGCATGAAAATTACATCATGTTTCCCTACCATGGTAAATTGGAAACTATTTGTATATTACTTGGATGAGACAAATATTCTGCCTGTTGATTCTTTTCATTCCTGTTAACTGTATAATCTTGAATTTGTATAGTTTGAATGACAACAGCTGGGACAACCTGGAAACTACCTATGAAGCACTGTGCCAAAATAAGGAATTTGGAAACATAGTGTTTTTTGTCATATCTTCCAACTTTATGTAGAGAATTTGAAGAAGAAAGAAGAATGGAAGAAGTGGGTAGCTAAAGAAATGATGTCCCAAAGAAGAATCTATTTTGGATGGATTCTTACATAGAGATGAAACCTATCTGTGAAGATGAGAGGTACATATGCCTAGAAATAATCTTTCTTCATCAGAGAAATTTTAAAATGGCAAGAGGAAGAGAAAAATCTCTAGGAAGAACTATAAAACAGTAACTATAATGAGAATCTCCTTACTTATGGGCCAGGTAACACTCAACCTTAAATAAAGTGATAAATACAGACTTGTAGTTATCACAAAAATTTGTGGAATTGGATTCATTCATTCATTTCACAAATATTTATTGAACAATTATTTGGCTGGATCATAATAAAATCACCTTATGATAAAAAATGGCCAGGTGAAAAACACTTCCTATACTGTAGCCAATGATAATACGGTAAGACAGTGGACTTTAAGCTCCTTAGGGAAAAGAGGTGCCTTTTCAGTGTGGTGTGGCACTGCAGCCATCAAATCAGAATCACTTGGGTAACTCAGTAAAAGTACTAATTTTCTAGGCTCCTGGGGTCCTGTTAGTCACATATGATGACCTCTGGTTTAAAACAAATGGACACACTTGTGAGAACATAATTACTTAGAAACAAGGGGAAAGGAAGATAGATATCTGAGCTGTTGAGGAGGCAGACTTGGAAGCAGGAGCCAGCACCACAGGCAGATATAGAAAGGGAGGGAGGGCAGCCAGGAAGGTGATTCAGTGGAGCCACTGCAAAGGTCAGCTTCACAGGGAAGTAGGAGGAACAGAAACGGATTGCTTTGCGTGGAGAAGTATGACGTTAAGTCAATTTTATTTATTTATTTATTATTTTTATTTTAGAGAGCGGAATGGAGGGGGACACAGAATCATCAATGTGAGAGAGAAACTCAAATGGTTGCCTCCCATATGAGCCCCAACAGGGAACTGAACCCAGGACCCTTCCATGCACAGGATGGCACTCCAACTGAGCCACTCTGGCCAGGACTGTTAATTCAATTTTAACCTTTAAGGAGCCAGTAAGATATTCAAGAAGAAATTAGTTGTGCAAAAATGCATGAGTACAGCTTAGTAGAAAAACCTGAACTCCAGATAGAGGCTTCAGAGTTTTAGCACACAGCTTAAACTCCCAGAGTGGATGAAATGAATCAGAGGCTAGTTGCATGAGAAGACAAGTAAAAAATCCAACATTCAAGGGCTAGACAAAGCAAGTCAGAGCTTCTAAGGAGACATAAGACAAGGCCAAAGAAGTAGAGAACAAAATGAGAGAAAGTAGTATCTGAAAGCCGAGAGAAAAGCCCTGAAGAGGGAAGTGGTTTACTAGTATCAACAGCTATAGGGAAATCAAATATAGTAGGTCAAGCTTCTAGGTTTCTGAAGAGTCAGATCACTGACGTCCTAAGTGGGAACACCGAACTGAGAGACTGAGGTGAAGCAGCCATCTTGACTGCCGATGCTTTCTCGGTTACACTTCCTGGTGGGGACCGAATGTGCCCTGGAGTACCACGAGACCCTGGTTCCTGTGTGCCACCCCAAGAATTTTTAAAACATGTAATACCTAACTGTTTAGTCAGGGGCACTGACCTCAGGTTGGCAAATTAAAAATGACAGCCAACACAACAGCCATCCAGTGTGAATGAATCAAAATTATACCTTTTTTTTTTTTGTCAGATCAGCAAAAAATATATTTTTTGGTGTGCTGCAGAATTTTAGTAATTAGTTTATGTGTGTCATGAGATAAAATAGGTTGAAAATTGCTGCTTAACACAATTCCTTAATTGTCCCTTTCCACAATCAAAACAAGTTCTTGCAATTTAAAAAACAAACAAACCCAGACTTAAGCAATTTTGTTAGTACTGGTCTTAAGACGTTAATACATTTTATCCTCTGTTCCAGTTAGAAACTTGTTTCATTATACATTTTCAGAGAGTAGAGACCACGTCATTCCAAAAGCACCCAACATGGTAACCTGCTCAATAACTGTTAAATTAATGAATGAGAGAGCTATTCCCAAGGACAATGGAAAACATAAGGGGAGAAAGCTATAACGTAGGCTTCTTTAATTCATGTGGCCTTTTCCTGTGCGGCATTCTTTTCCACTGAAGTGGCAACACAAAGACTGGAGCGGATGAGGGCACACCCTATGAAGGTGAAGCAAGCCAACGGCTCTAAACCCTGTAAGTCTCCCTGCTCTGACAGGTTCGTATCTGGGTTCTCAGACAATCTGAAAACGAGAGCACTGTATTTTTACTGGTGACATTTGAGCTGAAAATAACAGATGAAACCATTGAAAACTGGAGACATAAATGTAACGATACTATTTTTAAAAAGAAGAAGAAAAGGTAACTGTAAGCCTGATAGCAATTCTGGTCAACATTCTAAAAGTATTTATCTTCTAGATGATTTGTTGCCACTTATGATAATCTGGTAATTCTAGGGTAAGTTCACAAATAATACATGACAATGGGCTCATCCTTTTTTCCCTTTGACATTCAACCTTTATTAATCACCAAGTGTCACAGATCCAAACACACGTCCACCCGGCAGTTTACCGTTGATAGCCCACAATTCTCGTCCTTTTGATAGAGTTGGGAGACTAGGTCATAGATCAGATAACGGAGATGGTGGCAAACCCAGATTTCTGCAAGGCATCTAAGTCTGTGTCACTGAATATACTTGAGGAAAAGATGGATAAGTAAGACTGGATGATAATATAACTGAGTTTGCTAAATAACACACTATGAGGAAGATTCTGATTGATGATGCTTATTAATCCAAAGGAAAGGTTTGGGTGCCACAGAGCTTTATCCTAGTGGATGTTTACCAACAATCTGGGTAATGATGCTATAAGTACAGAACTGAGTTTGAACCACAGCCCCATTACTTACTGATTATGTAACTTGCACCCATTATTAAACCTCCAAGTCTCAGTTTTCTGAACTTGTAGGGTTGTTAGGATTTAGCATGAATACATACATACAACACACACACCCACACACACAGTAATACTGAGAACACAGTGCTGTATCTATAACTGTTGTCTGCCATTACTATTGATGTTGTTATACTTTTAGATGGCAAGTTTATCAGATCTGCAGCTGGATGCTGAATGACTAGATTGAGGTCCAGAAGACACTAGTGGTAGGGTAGAAGTCAGGACGATGAGAGCACAGACTGCATCATCCTGTACTTGGAGCCAGGTAACTACAAAGTACAGTAAGGAGAAGGTAAGGATCAAGAGCAGCACATCAAGAGCAGCACATCAAGAGAACTTGGTATTTATACTGATACCAAGGGCACCATAACTTAACAGTATGTAGGTTGCTAAGAAGTCTTAATACAATCTTAGACTCCCTTAAAATAATGATGCATCGCAGAACCTACTGAAAGGCTAAGCTAAATAAAATGTTTTAGTGGAGATGGTATGAACATTCAGAACCAGGCCATGTGGTGAAAACAAGAGTGTTTACAGAGATAAGGAGACTCGAAGGACACGACTCATCTTCACAGCTGAAGAGACATCATGTAGAGACAGTCCAAGTGGATAAAACAAAAACTGGTCGGTAAGAAACTATGGAGAGCTAATCCAGCCCCACATAAGAAAAGTTTCCTAGACCCAGTATCTATTCAAAGAGAAAATGGACAGCTTCAGAGAGGAGTAAGCTCTTGCTCCCTAACAGAAAATCTTCATATTATGGCAGACATTTGAGAAGGAACTTTAGGATCAGGTGCCCATAAGAGCCTTTGAACACAAGGATCACACAAGAGGCAACATTGGAGATATCACTATTAATGCATGTTTTATTTGGGGTTTATGAAAGAAATCCCACTTACCCATATCAGAGTCACCTCCACCAGAGGAGTTCAACTTACGAAAAATCTCCTGCTTCTTTGATTTAACCATGGGTGACGTGTTTTCAAGCTTGGTGAAGAATGAAGGCAAGTAGCTTATACTCCCTGGTGAGCGGGAATCATTCCTGTTAGGAACACAGTTATGTCTATTATCGTCATAAACTCCTAACCCGGAGGACTTTCCTATCATAGAGTATTTGGGAAAACTACCACCTCCCCATCTTGTGTGTGTGGTTACAACCCTATGGAGCAGTATGTGACCATAAGCCAGTTAGTCCATCATATATGAGGACAAAGTCAAATACTTCAACGCTCAAAGATGAAATCATAATATAAGGACTGGAATGGAGATAATCCGGAACAAGGATTCTTAACAAAGAATGAGTAAGCAGCAAACAGATATTAACAGAAAAACTAAGAAACAGCCAGCTCATGACGCTGTATGCATAACAGCACAAACACTGATATATTTAGGTTACTACATTAACTGAAAACTATTTTACTTGCAGAATTATTTTGAAGTACAATAAAATGATAATGAATAGTACACTTGCCTATAAAATAGCAAGAGTTCACACCTAAGCAAACAATTGAACTTGAACAGAATAACTACAATGCAGAAATTGTTACAATCATTTCAAAGCCTCCTACCAGATGAGCCAAGTTTTGCATAAAGGGTTTCGTATTTCATTGGCACTTCCTATACAAACATTAAAAAACAAACAGGCAAGTTCTCTCTAACAGCCCAAGACTATAAAGATCTAACTAGAGCCAGAGGTAATAACAGAGAACACATGGAAGGCTGGAGATAACAGTCTGGTCATGGGACTCTTCCATCATTCAAACATAAGAACATATCTGAAGTTACTGTTTGCCAAGAAAGATGAATAAGATGATAGGAAAATGAATAAAATATCCTAAAAAAAGACACAAACTTCGGAGAAATGTGAACGTATAATTACATTTAACACCATTCCCCCTTCAAAAATGGATTTTCTTCCTTTCACTGAACGGTACCAACATCTACTTGATTGTTTATGAACATAAATAAAGTAAATTACTACACATTGAAAAAAATGCACCAATAGTTTGGAGTAAGACAGACTTTGGTTTAAACTGGGGTTCTCTTACTTGATTTGACCATGGGCAGATCATGTGTTCACCTCTCAGAGCATCAGGGGAGGGTGTTCCACACCAAGAAAGCAGTATGAGTATGGACTAAAAGGAATTCAGGGAACAACAGGCAACTTGATATGGACAAGAATGAAGTATAAGGGTGAAGCGGCAAGAAATGAGATGAGTAGTACAAGCCTGGTCATAAAAGAACCCAAATGCCATGCCAATGACTTAGTGCTTGATTCTGCGAGTTTTCCCAAATCACTCTGGCGGAAGTGGACTGGAGAGGAGCCAAAATCAAAGATGTCTCATCCAAACAGGTATTCTAGTAATTCACAGGGTTGGGTTATGGTTAGAAATAGGTTAAGAAAAAACAACACAAAGCAATTCGGCACAGGTGCTCTTCGTTAACTTCCCTGACATATATAGTGCAATGCTTGGTACGTGGTAAGCACTCAAATGGTGGTGGAATTCAGTGGGTGACCACACAGACAAAACAGTTTAAAAAAGACCCAGAAGGACTTAATTTCAAGTAAAATGAACAGTTTTTCTATAACCTATTTAAGTATAATCATTTTTTTCATGAACTTCTAGTATTAGATCACTAGGAAAACTAAATGATCCCCTGAATCCTATCCTGACACATAACCCAAAAGAGAAGGCACTGACTTAACGTTGAGGAAGACGGAAAGGCACTGAACACACGCACATACTCATGACTGGGAGCTGTCAGTGAGCAGGGGCACTCACTCCTCACCTCTGCTCTGCAGACTCGGCTCCTCGCTGAGGCAGTAGCAGCATGCTGTCCGGTTTCTCATGCACAACTGGAACTTGGGGCGGGGAGATGGGTTCGTAGGGTTCTGAAGAGACATGACTCCTCTCTGGGGATTTTCCAGGCCTGATATAACATATAAAATATTAGACTGTGTTCCTAGGGCTTACCTACAGCTTACCAGCTTACCCTAAACAGCAAGTGGTTACATTACCTCCTCCAGGAGAAAAGGAATAAAAGTTGCCTATCTATATTAAAAAAAGTTTCCTCGGGCCCTGGCCGGTTTGGCTCAGCGGTTAGAGCGTCCGCCTGCGGTCCTGAGAGACCCAGGTTCGGTTCCCGCTAAGGGCACGTACCTTGGTTGCAGTTTGTCCCCGGCCCTGGTCGGTTGTGCGGGTGGCAGCCACTCGATGTGTCCCTTTCACATCGATGTTTCTCTCTCTCTCTCTCTCTCTCTGTTCCTCTCTCCCCCACCCCACTCTACCTGAACAAAAAAAAAAAAGGAAAAATGTCCTCAGGTGAGGATAAAAAAAAAAAAAGTTTCCTCGGGTATTCACTATATATGTGGGTTATCCAAAAAAGTCTTTCACTGCTGGTTTATCCACACATGTGAGCCAGCTTTGGGAGTCGCATCACAAACAGCGTAAGGGACAAACAGCTGTCGGGAGGTCACTCTTACTTCAGCATCAGACCCCACCACCCACCTACCCTTGGCCAGCTCCTCAGGTGAGCCCTCACAGGTTTTACTGCTGATTTCGAGTCATGACTTGCCAAGTCTTTCCCCACTAAGTTAAAAGATAAAGGACATGAGCACTAAACTGAAACCTAAGGAGTGTGTCCAGTGAGTCGAGATACGTTCTAGTGATACCTTTTTAGGATGAACAGTTCTCTGCAATTCCTTTGAATACCACGTTGGTAGGGATAATGTGAGATAAACACACTGTTTAGACCAAAAAAAATATTTTGGCTTAGTGGTTATTCATATTAAAAGATACCTGTGAGCCCTGGCTGGTGTTGCTCAGTGGTTAAAGCATCGGCCCACAAACCAAAGGGTCACAGGTTCAATTCCCAGTAAAGGGCACATACGTGGGCTGCAGGTTTGATCCCTGGCCCTGGTTGGGGTGTGTGGGGGAGGCAACCAACTGATGCGTCTCTCTCACATGGATGTTTCTCTCTCTCCCCAACCCCCCTTCTACTCGCTCTAAAAATCAATGGAGAAAAATATCCGTGGGACAGGATTAACAACAACAACAAAAAGATACCTATCATCTTTAACATCTGCTTTTATTACTATTAAAGTTTTTTATGTCTATATATATAAAATTTTGTATATATTATTTGTGATTTGCTGTCCCAATCAACCAATTCTTAAGCGGTGGCCATTTTTGTCCATTTTTCTTTTAGTTCTTTGGTGGTTACCTCTAAAACTAAATCATCTTATATCTTTCTTGATTTATCAAACTTGAAACAGTATCTGTCAATTTTCCCTTCCATAAAAGATGAACTTGACAACCTTTTCTATGTTGTTGCCCATTTTATTTTAAATTTTAAAACCAATTATTTGACTAAAACCAAAATGAAAGAAATGTAACAATCTTCATTCAAATGCACAGTTGTAGTGATGTGGAAATTACTAGTGAAAAAGTCAAATGGATTTTCTTTTCATAAATGCTATTAACTGCTCAAAATCTGCTACATAATACTTTGCATCAGGAATGAACCATGATTCTGCTACACAAGCTTTCAGTTTTCCTTTGATAATTAAATTTATTTCGTTCTCCTTTTTTGTTTTTGGTTAAGAGGACAAATGTGTTTTCATCTTTAACATCATCCAGCTTCTTAACATGATTATGTCTGAGATATGTTTCGAAATAATCTAGTTTGAGGATGCGCAAGTGGGGACAAAAATAAAACAAAATGGGCCCTATCCTGAAGATTACCGAAGCTGGGCAAAGGACACGCACAAGCATATTATACTATTCTACTTCTGTTTATGTTTGAAAAATACCACAATGAAGTGTTTTATTTAAATGAAGACCACTCAGCTTCTTAAATTATTCTTACTTCTCCGGACCGCAGGCGGACGCTCTAACCGCTGAGCCAAACCGGCCAGGGCAAATTATTCTTACTTCTTTATGTTCTTTGTAGGTAGGCTGGAGAAGCCCCTCTGCTACAAACTGCTCTTGTTCATGCTCTGAGTTATGGCTTCCACTACTTTGGTCCCTCAATCCACTGTGCATCTTCCAGATACTTGCCAGTATTTTTGACCTGCTAATATCCCAGTCTTGTTCTCAGCATTTTAATGAATTTTGTGAATGTTCATGCTGCTTCACTGTAATTTAACATCTGCCAATGCTTAGTTTGCTTATCACCTTGAACCAAAAACTTGCCTCCATTTTAAAAAATCCAAGTGTAGAACATTATGGAGGAGACTATTCCAAGATGTGGATGTTGCTTGACCTGAAAGCTGGACCAGAGCCAAAAGGGAGAGACTACTTCCTAAAAACCCCCTTTAGAGACTGTGTGGAATTGATACTTATTCTTTACACGAATTAGTACCCTTCCCCTGCCTCCTACTACGCACTGGTTCCTGAAACAGGCCATTGTCCTGACCTGGTCAAGCAAATTAAGTAAATTTCTGTACCTGGGAGCATTCATGTGCTAGTACCTGTAACTATCCACCCCCCTTTACCCTGTATAATTCTTGGAAGGTACCAAAGAATCATGTAGGTGCAGGGATCCATTTCATCTTGTAGCTGCCTAAGCATGTAAATATCCCTTAATAAACTTTGTTAATTACCAGACTGGAGTGGCCAGCCTCTTATTTTCTGCCTGTCCCTGCCCTTCATTATGGAGGTAGATTTTCAGTCCCAGGACCTTTGCCTGAGCCTTTGTGTACTAACAATGGGTAAGCCAGTCAGGAAACCAGAGAAGCGGGCCTTAGGAAAGAGGCATCTATGGGGGAATTCCTGGGTTGGCCATCCACTTCTATGTGGACTACCACATAAATATAGAACACCCTGAAAATGCCGGCTGGTCTCATGCATTTGGAGAACTATCCATTGCACACTGTGGCAAGGAAGTGCATGGTCAGAGCTGTAAGCTGGCCCCTCATCTGACCACCAGCACCCAGCTAGAGGCAGAAACCAGAGCTATGAAATGAGAAGCAGATCTAGGGGAAGCTGACCAGTCATGAGAGCACATCCAAAGTTGTGGGAAAGACTCCGAACTTGGCCAGAGGGATAGAAGGGGTTGGAATAAGGGCAGTCAAGAAGAATAGGCCTGTGAGATAACCCAAAAACAAACGTCGCACAATCTGATTGTCAGCCTAATGTAGTACTAGTGGGATTACGGAAAGCTTTAAAACCAGAACAGTTCCACCTGGTACTCTTAGGCTCTCTCAGGGGACACACCGAAAGATTCAGGGGAGCCCTCTGGAACTTTATCCTACTCTGGTTGGGTGCCACCCGACCAGCGTTTGGATGATGGCCCAGATCGTCCTCAGGTAAGGGTCACAGGGGGCAATCAGAGGCTTCACATGGAACTCACCATCCATTGGTCCTCCAGAAATAAACAGGGTAACTGCTTTGGCTGACACACACTGAATGTACCCTAATATACGGTAATCTTCAGAAACTGGCTCCCTCAGTGCTATAGAAAGCTATGGAAGCCAAACTGTAACGGTCAGAAAGTACCCCTTGTTCTGACGATTGCATGCTCCCATCACCAGGAGTGAGGTCTTCATCTCCCCAATCCCAAAAACATACTGGGCATTAACTTCTTGCAAAGCCAGGGAATTCCGCCTTCAGGTAAAGGTAATCAAATCAGTACTAACAGGCAATGCCAAATAGGAGCCAATTAGTCTGCCACCACTGCAGAGAGTTACTGGGAGGACTTCGTGTACCTTACACATGGTGCCTTTAACAGCCCAGTGTGGCCGATAAAAACACAGATGGCTTTTGGATGGACAGATTATAGAGAGCTAAATAAGGTAGTGTCCCCTATCATGTGGCTGTGCCTAATATTGCCACTACATTAGATTACTTGTCTACAGTCCTAGAAATATTTGCTATACTGGACTTGGCCAATGTCTTTAGAATACCCCTGGCTGCTAGGTCCCAAGATCAATTTGCCTTTACCTGGAGGGTCAACAATGGACTTTCCCAGTGCTTCCTCAAGGCCATCTACACAGCCCCACCACGTGCCATGGATCACAATCTGTCACTGTTTTCTTTTCCAACCCCAATGAAATGGATCTATCACACTGATGACTTAAATGTTAAGCTGTGAAGATTTGCCTCTGCTGCAGAAAACCCTGTGGACTTTATGGGACCACTTACAACAGAAATGATGGACAATGAATACACAGGCAATTCAAGGTCCAGGCACTGCTATAAAGTGCTTAGGAGTTGTATGGTCAGGTAAGATCCACATTGTCCCTGAGACTGTCACAGATAAATTACAAGCCTACTCCACACCAAAAAATGTGAGAGGCGCAGGCTCTTGTAGGGATCCTGGGGTACTGGTGAACATTCATACCCCATTTAGTGTAATGCCTTTGCCCAGACATTTGCGTAAACAGCATGACTACCTACAGCAAAGGACACAGTCAAATGGCCCTCTGAATATACAGACCCTCCAAATGCCCCTGCAACCTGCAAAACAGGAACAGGGGAAATCTCAGCTGAAGCCTGGTATACCAATTGCTCTAGCCAAGTAATCTACCTACTGGGGCAGGCAGTTGCTATCCAACCACCCACTGATACTATCTGAAAAGGAACAAGAACAAACCACAGCAGCCTGATTAGTAATCACACATGAACCTTGGCCACTAATCCTATGCACTGACAGCTGAGCCGTTTTAATTTTTTTTTTTTTTTAATCCTCCCCCGAGGAAACCTTTTGCATTTATCTTCAGATAGAGCAGGAGGGAGAGAGGGAGGAAGAGAGAGACAGAGAGAAACATTGATGTAAGAGAGACACATCAACTGGTTGCCACCCACACAACCCCAACCAGGGCCGAGGACAAACCACAACCAAGATACATGCCCTTAGCGGGAACCAAACCTGGGACTCTCCGGTCCGTGGGCCGATGCTCTAACTGCTGAGCCAATGGCCAGGGCAGCTGAGCCGTTTTAAAAGGACTGAATCTATGGTTCAGACAATGGGAAATGGAGGGCTGGATGATATGAACAAACCTTTATGGGGGCAAGAGAAGTGGAGAAATATTTGGGCTCACCTACAAGAGCCCAAGGCAGATCTCACTGTCTTCCGTGTCCCTGCATATAGGGTATCCACACCCCCAGATAACCAGGAAGCAGATGACTTGGCAAAAATAAACACTTTAGCAACTGACCTGTCAATTGTCATAGCAGAATGGGTACATCGGAGGAGGGGGCACCACACTGCCTGAATAGATGGCATATATTTAAGGAGGTAGAGCTGAATACAGTGATCTGGTTGATGTAGTTGTGTCCTACCCTGTTTGTTCCAATAACACCCTAGACAACAACCACAAGAATCTGGAGCCATCCACTGAAGCCCCCAATGGGTAAGGGACTGGTAAATTTACTACACAGACCCACTCCACTTGAGTAAAGGCTCCCAATATGCACTGGTTTGCGTCCCCACTGACTCTGGTCTAACTTGGGCCTTCCCACGTGAGTGAGCTCATCAAGTTGCCACTGTAAAGGGACCAGAAAAGTTAAGTGCTATGTATGGATACCCCATTAATTAGTAATCAGGGGTCACATTTCAAAGGGCATGATGTATAGAAACGGGCACAATAACATAATTTTTTTTAAATCTTCACCCGAGGATATTTTTATATTCATCTTGAGAAAGAGCAGGAGGGAGAGACTGAGGAAGAGAGAGAGAGAAACATAGATGTGACAGACACATATCGAGAGGTTGCCACCCGCACGACCCAACCGGGGCCGGAGACAAACTGCAACCGAGGTACATGCCCTTAGTGGGAACAGAACCTGGGCCTCTCTGGTCTGCGTGCGGGCTGACGCTCTAACAGCTGAGCCAAACCAGCCAGGGCAAAGTCCACTTCCCATAAAACCCACAGGCAGCCAACCAGGTGGAATGAACGAGATGGTGTCCTTAAATAACAGATAAAGTTACTAACTGGAAAACCTACTTTGGCTGGGTGGACAAAGATGAGGACCTTCCCAGGCATTAATACATTTTAAACGACCACCCGTGGGGCCTATTGCCCCATATGCTACATTAGAAACTCAGGCTGACATACCCAATACAGTAAAGGTGTGAAAAACAAAGGATGCAGCAATAGTCCAGATGCTTGCAGTGGATCAATAGGTTATGATACTGAGGACACTGAGCCCTATTGTCCCTGGGAAGGGGACCATTTACTGGAATATGCAATGGGATATCCCACTGAGGTGGATCAGTTACTTCACATCCATTAGGGGGGAGAAACTCCTAAACCTCTGGTGGAATCTTGTTATTCTAATGCAATCAGGACCCATGGAGACACACTATACATGGACTGAGAGATGCATCATTAAAACGGGAGAAAATAGGGGTCCTGGTCTGGCACATTACCCCTCCTATTCACCTCTTTACATCAGAAAGCACCTCCCCTGGCCAACATGTAGAGGTTACACAGCCTGGCCAGGTTCCCAAGGCCATGGCTACATTAACATCTAACCTAGGCTACAAGTGTTGTGTTCATAGATGATCTCCCAACTCAAGCCCCTACTAAATATTTGTCTTTCTGACCTTACATTTCTGCTATTCCTGTAACACTGAGTTACAGGGGGGCACTGGTGCCATCATCCCAACTGAACATTTTGCTTTTAATACCAGATGAGTCTGCCAATATCTCTTTACAAGTACCCACATAAAAAACCAAGTGAATGCTTTAAGTGACCTACCCTCAAGCCTAGGAGACCTATTAACACACTGATTTGGATCTTGGAGAGCATGCTGAAAAACATCGTTACTAATACTTGGAGTGTTTCTTTTAATTTTTCTTTTTCCTGAATGTGCCTATACTGTTGCTGTGGGCTAAGTCTCCAATGAGTCCCTGGCAATGAAGGAAGCTACCTCCATGTAATGAAGCCCCTCACCGACCACTTAGGGTACACCGTGGAAGAGGGGTGCATGCAGTGTATATACTTGAAAAAACCGCGATAGAGCGAAGCCGTGAAAGTCGAAGTGCGAAGTGGCAGGGACGACTGTGTAAATAATCCTACACTTTGTGGAAATTCATTTATCGTGGTAGAGTCTGGAACTAATTAACCGCGATAAACGAGGGCCGACTGTATGTGTTACCTCTCATGGTGCCTCTACTGGCCTCATTTTTAGTATTTAATGCCAGCTTTCACGTTATCTGTTGCTGTGGAACCAACAGAAACTACTGGGAAAGAAAAATCATTTTATGATTCTGAAGGACCACTCTGATATTGTTTTACTGTTGGGAAATGTTCATATGGTTTGAAATAAAGACCATACCTTCCTCTGGATTTGTCCGCAAGATTTTCTGGAGAGACCCTCGAACCTGGTCTTTGATGGTGGACAGACTGAGACTGGGATTCTGGGCTGTAATGATTTGATGTTTTAGTCCTCACAGGTGTAGACACCAAAGGAGATGGTGAATTTTGGAATGTTGAAGTGGGAGGCTGCTGGGGAGGCTGTGAAGAAACTTGATTTCTAGCAAAATCTTGTGTAATAATTTGCTGTGAAAGAGGAAAGAATTAATTAAACCCATTGAGTACTTGCAAAAAAAAAAGTAGCATAAAAAAACCTAGACATCTTTACTGTGATGTTATGTGAAATGTGACTTCTGCGTGATAAAAAAATAAAGAAAATAATCAGTAAGAATAATGAAAAACTTACACAGATATGATCAGCGAGTGTGATCAGTCGATGGGTCCTGGGCACCTGCCCCGCCGCCTCGGCCTGTGAGGCAGAGGGCAGCTGCTGCTGTGGCGACGGGGACTCCTGCTGTGGCCGGTAGTGATGTAATGGTCCTTCATACTGCCTGGTGGCTTCAGCTGACGGGGGAAGATCAATGTCTTACTCATTATCAAAGATTAAACACAAATCAGAGGAACGTATAAAAGGAATGTGGTACATATCTCTAAACTGAATTCTTATCTTTTGAAGAAAAATATTTATTTACTGAATAAAAGACTAATATAAAGTAAAAACTGAAATAATTGAGCAAAACAAAATATCAAGTATTTTCTATATTATTAAAATATAAGCAAGTAAATAGTCAAGTAATAACTTAAAAATAGTTTTTCATTAATGCAAATTACTCTAAAATAAAACAAGGTATTTCTTACCATGCTCTGGACAGATAATTAGAAGCAAATGATAAATGCAAATATGAAAACATGTAAACTGGTGGCTATAAAAGACATACTTTCTGCTTGATTTGCCTTAACAACCTCTGGTTGATAGGCCTGTAGTTTCTCCTGAGGCGGGGCAGGTGAATTGGCAGGGCTTATCACCTCAATAGCATCGCTAGGTGTTTCATACCGGTGAGAAGATACTTTAAGAAAAGAAAAGAATCTTATTTTAAAACTAATTCTATGAAAAGTTTCAAAAGTCCAAGTTCTTCAACCTTATTTGCATATTTTCATTTTTTTATTCTCAGAAATGTTCAATAGCACCCAGGTTAATGATAAGACATAATGAGTTCAATGGACCATAAGTGCTTCCTCAGTGTTCCTAATCTTAGTAGGAAGTTTGGGCTTTAGGTGAGGCAGAATAAAGGACAGACTTGTGACATTCTCCTGGGAGCTGGAAAAGAAAATCACCAGGAAACAAACACTCATCAGAACGAGAGACTATATCTCAACAGTTCATTGTTTCTAATCATTTCAATTCTGTGGACAGTCAGTTCTTACAAAAACTTTCAGGCTACAAAGCTGTTTCACTACCATGATGATTTTTAAGCTATGGATTAAGTAACATGATATAATTATTTTCTCAAATCGCTGTAGTATTATTGACAACAATTACTCCGAACAATTTTTTTGGTTAATTCTCACCCGAAGATATTTTGTCCAGTGATTTTTTTTTTTTTTTTTTAAGAGTGAAGGGACCAAGGGAGGATGAGAGAGAGAGAGAGAGAGAGAGAGAGAGAGAGAGAGAGAGAGAAAGAGAAACATCGATGTGAGAGAGACACATGGGTTGGTTGCCTTCTGCATGCGCCTGGACGAGGCCGGGGATCAAACCTACAGCCCAGGTACATGCCCTAGACTGGGCATCAAACCCACGAATGTCTGAAGGGCAACAAACCCACCCCACTGGCAGAAGGGAGAGCGCCCACATCGCAGAAGGGCCCCTCTGAGAAGTGGTCCCTCAAGAAGCTGAGGGTCTCTGCAGTAGGGCCCAGGCAGGTTTCACATGGCCTCTCATCTGACCCTGCCTATTCATACAACTATAAATCTTCCTCAGCTACCAACTTCTGCATGTACAATACCTATATTGTGGACTTTCATAATCCCAGGCTAAGAAGTCTTTTGTCTACACAACTACCAAGCTGCCCCCATCTCTTCTAAAACCTCAGGAATGGGGGAGATAGTTACCCAAACAAATTATAATCAGGCATGGAGGTAAAAATAATTGCACACTGCATGCTAGTGCACCAGAAATTATTATTTTTTCATTATCTCCAACTCTACTCAATTTCATTAATGGAAAAAACAGAGAGATGGCTATATATGGTTCAACTACTTCAAATATTAGCAGATGCTTTTGTGAATACCTGCTTGTTCCTTCAAGAATTCTATGCAGAATTTAGGCAATAGTTAAAAATAAATTTAAAGTAACTTTTCTATCCTTCTACTGCAGATTAGTGAGTTCTTACAGACCTACAGGTAGACATCAAAGTGACAGAACTTGATCATTGCAACCTACCAATGACCAATAAGGTGGTCTCCCTTTTTAAAATGCTATACCTCAGACAAAAGATGTAAGAGGCTTTGGGGTATCAGCCTAAATACTGAACCATATCCCAGAAAACACTGCTTGAGAAATTAGGTCTCAGTAGCAGAGAGCTTAATGATACATCTATCACATTTCAGATGCCTGAAAATGTCAGTAAACTCTGCCCTCTACCTCTTTACTTTCCAACTTTAACTCTAATAAAGGGCATAATTTTCTCATGAAAAATAACCTGAAAGACATACATAAGAAATGCTGATACACACACACACACACGCACATTTTTTTTTATCCTCACCCGAGGACATTTTTTGTTCAGATAGAGTGGGAGGGAGAGAGAGGAAGAGAAAGAAACATCGAAGTGAAAGGGACACATCGAGTGGCTGCCACACACGACCCAACCAGGGCCGGGGACAAACTGCAACCGAGGTACGTGCCCTTAGCGGGAACCGAACCCGGGTCTCTCTGGACCGCAGGCCGACGCTCTAACCGCTGAGCAAAACCGGTCAGGGCAAGAAATGCTGATATTTAAATAATCACAATAGCACAAGAGACATCATTGCAGTGCCAACCCACAAAACCTATTACATTTACTATCAAAATTAGGGTTTTTTTGTACCATATTGTTCTGCGTGGTCTAAAGAATAAAGCAGTTCTTTACTCAGGTATCACATTGTGGAACTCGGGCTGAGATACATACAGCTACTAGAAGAGTCTGAACTTTGAGAGCCACGTTCCCTTGCATCCTTGTCCGAGGCAATTTGCCGGGTGATGATCACGTCTATGAAGTTAGCTGCAGTAATGGTAGTCTTCCCTCGGGTCCTTAGCTCTTCCTCATATCTGGATTTTGGAGGAGGCCCTTTATCTTTCCCAGCCTCAGAATAAACTACTGAAGAATGAGGCTGGGGCTTGCCACTTGGAAAGGCTGAAGAAGTGTACAGACACTGAACAGATCTCTTCTCCACCTCCAGGGTTTTCTGCTCTAGCTGCTGCTGTTCACTAACTGCTGCTGACCTGCTTCTCAAATTTTCTTCTAACCTGGCAGCTTCATGCTTACTCTCTTTTGTTTTGGAAACATCCATCTGGGGAGCAGAAGCTGCAGCATCCACAAGAGCAGCCAGGGCATCTGCAGCAGTGTTGTAACGGGAGGCTGGCAGGCCTTGGCTTATTGAAGGGCCCCCAGCAGGCAGTGGCCTGCAAATGAAACCAAACCACAACTGTAAAGGGGAGACTCCGTACTGGGGGGTGTGGTGGGGAAATGAAAGGACAAACTGTAACAGAAATGTTTAATGAGTAGTAAATCATTACTAAAATCACTGCAATCACAAACTGAAGAGCATGTATCTAAGAAATTGGTTTTTTTTTTTTGGTCAAAATGTATACAACACACTTACATGATTCGTAACTGAGCACTTGGATCCAAAGGTGTAATTACACTGGTTCCATTGGTTCCCTGGAAAACGCTGGGTCTCTGCTGCAACATGGTCTCCTGAGCTCTTACTGAAGGGGATGGGGAGCGAACATATCCATGACTGCCAGGTCTGCCAGGCTGCTCTGAGCCTTCAGGGGGTAAAATAAAAAAACAAAAATGACAAGTCATAAGGAAGAAGCTAGAGAAAGCAACATTTAGGGATTGTTAATTTCATAATATTCCTAAATAGGTAAAAGAAAAATGAGATAAGAAAATTGATATCCCACTTTCTGGCCTTGGTAAAATATTTCTATGAGTTTTTCTTTCTTTTTAAAAAAAATGTTTTATTGATTTTTAGCGAGTTAGAGAGAGGGAGAGAGACAGAAACATCAATGAGAGAGAAACATCAATCGGCTGCCTCCTGCATGCCCCCTACTGGGGAACCTGGCCTGAAACCCAGACATATGCCCTGACTGGGAATTGAACTGGTGACCTCTTGGTGCCTGGGTCAGTGCTCAACCACTGAGCGACATCAGCTGGGCTATGAGTTCCTTAACAATGACGCAAGAAAACCACACTAATAACTTGAAACAGAAATGCCAGCTATGATGTATTGTCATTGCCCTTTGTAACAAGTTTCCATCTTGAGTCCAGAGATAAACAAGAACAGCCCTGGCTGATTTAGCTCAGTGGTTAGAGTGTTGGCCCTTGGACCAAAAGGTTACAGGTTCTATCCCCAGCCCTGGTCAGGGTTGTGTGGGAGGCAACCAATCTCTCTCTCTCCCCCCTGACCCTCCTCCCCCTCCTTCCCTTTCACTCTCTAAAAATCAATGGAAAAATATTCTCAGGTGAGGATTAACAAAATACACTAATAAAAAGTACTAATACAAATCAGAGAAGTTCATCTTTCAGCTTTTCCTTAAACTCTGGTGTGTTTATCATTTCCAAAATCAAATTTGGTACAACTTTCTAAGTATAATGAAAATAACAACCTAGCCCTGGCCGGTGTGTGCTCAGGTGTTAAGAGCGTCGGCCTGTGCACCAATGAGACGTAGGTTTGATTCCAGCCAAGGGCACATACTTCGGTTGTGGTTCATCCCTGGCCCTGGTTGGGGTCCTGTGGGAGGCAACCAGTCGATGTGTCTCTCTCGCACTGATATTTCTCTTTCTCTCTCCCTCTCCCTCTCTCCCTCCCTCCTAATCTGTCTAAAGATGAATGGAAAAATGTCCTCAGGTGAGGATAAAAAAAAAAAGTAACACCCTATTGCTGCCCCAGGTTTGAGGCTGTTATTCACCCACAGTTCTTCCTGCTCCACTCCTTTACTGCCCTCCACAAGGACCTGTTTCTCTCAGCAAACCCTCTTTTGTTTTTTTGAATTCCCACCTGAGGACATTTTTGCACTCATCTTCAGATGGAGCGGGAGGGAGACAGGGAGGGAGAGAGAGAGATTGATGTGAGAGAGACACATTTACTGGTTACCACCCACACAACCCCAACAGGGGCTGGGGACAAACCACAATCGAGGTACGTGCGCTTAGCAGGAACCAAACCCAGACTCTCTGGTCCGTGGGCTGACACTCTAACCACTGAGTCAAACTGGCCAGGGCCCTCTTTTGCTTTTTAATCCTTATCCAAGGATATGTTTTTATTGCTTTTCTTAAGAAAGGAAGAGAGCCCTGGCTGGTTTGACTCAGCTCAGCTCAGCTGTTGGAGCACTGGTCATTGGACCAAAGAGTCGCAGGTTTGATTCCCTGTCAAGGGCATGTACCTTGGTTTTGGGTTTGATCCCTGGCCCCAGTTGGGGTTATGCAGAAGGCAACCAATCAATGTATCTCTCTCACATTAATGTTTCTCTCTGTCTCCCTTCCTCCCACTCAATCTAATAAAAAAAAAATCAATGGAAATCCTATGGTAAGAATTAAAAACGAGAGAGAGAGAAAGGGAGGAAGTATCGGAGGAAAAGAGGGGGAAAGCGAGAGTGAGAGCGAAATATTATTGGCTGCCTTCCCATACATGCCCCGACTGGGAATTTAGCCCACCACCTTTTGGTATACTGGACGATGTTCCTACCAACTGAGTCATCCAGACAGAGCACCAATACCTTTTGACATGAAATCATCTACCTTGCCCCACGAACTACACTTCTTTAACATTTGAGACTTTGTTGGTTCACTTAACCTTAGATCTCCCATCATAAAGCCACAACTTGGACCTGTTCAAAAGTACTTTACTCAGAAAAATCTCAAATTCCCTCTCTAATCACGTTTTCTACCTCCTCTTGTTCTGCACCCTCGCTCTGACTTTGTCTTGCTTTTTGCCCCCCTAAGAGCTGGCAGTTTCAGTCTACACCCCTATTCTCACAGTATGTAGACCTAGGGCAGCCTTTTCAGCAATTTATCCCTCTGACCATACATCAAGCTTATATGGTTCTTTCTACTGGGTATATTTGTAGATGTGAAACTGCTACTTAAATTTTTATATCTCTGAAAAGGCTCTCCTCATTTACACTGACAATATACGAGAATCAGTGTTTCTTCAGACATTCCAACACAGAGTATTTATTATATTTTTTAATGTGATGAAGAAAAATGGTATTTTATTGTGTTAAATCTGAATGTTATTCATCAGTTGGACCACAGGTATTTTTAAAATATAGCTCCTGCTGGAGTTATATATCACTTGTACTTGGCTTTCTATAATTAAATCAACTTTCACTGTTTTGACAATCAACATTTAATCAATATTATAGAGCTACCTACAATTCATTACACATTTCCCATTATCAGACACTTAGTGATTTCTTTATTACATGTAAACTATAGGTTACATCTAAATTTAGGTTTTGCAGCCACTGAATTGTTCTAGATAAATCCTCAGCAATGATAGTACTAGGTCACATGGGATGGCTAGCTTTTAGTCTCCTGTATAGTGCCATCACTTTGATTTCAAAGAGCATGTCTCCTATGACCTTATAAATGTGACGACCTTGCACTGCATCCTTTGGTTCTGCACCAGCCTCTCTGACCACATCTCTGGCTCCTTCTGCCTCCAGCTGAACACTGCTCCCAGCAACATCTATTCCTCTCCACCTATGCTTGCCCCTTAGAAATCTCAGTCAAGCCAGTTTTAACTTTTGCAGATGACTCCTAAGTCACAATCTCCACATTTTGTCTTTTCTCCTAAGTGCCAGATCTATGTATCTGACAATATAAACATAGTGAATGATTTGATTTCACTGATAGAAACAAGTACACCATGGATAAGAACAAATGTCACAAAGACAAAGTACATCCAAAATAAAAATCACTGTCTTGGCTTTCACTAATCCTGGTCTATCTTAAGTGCAGTCTTGTTTTTCATCTCTTCCTCACTCCTCATATCTACTTATTAAGTCCTTTTGATTCACCTTAAGCATGTTCTTCCTAGCAGTCCCTTTCTGGCCAGTGTCAGTGTGTCTTAGGCCATCATTAGAACACACACGAACTGCTGACACAGTCTTCCTGTATTCCTGCCACCAGCCACGCCCCCTTCAGGGGTCTAATCCCTCTCATGCCACTCTCGTGTAAACATCCCTCTTAGCATGTCACCTACCTACTGCACCAAATGGCAGCAGCGCTTCACTTATAATTTAAAAATGTCACACAACCTTCTAACCATATTTTCCATTCTGTAAATTACAGCTCAACAACACACACATCTCCATATCTATGAGCCTTTTGCTTGGGCTGCTTTCAGCTCCCATGAGCTCCACAGCCAGTATCTTCAGGGCCAATTGCAGCCAACTAGAGCACAAATCAAAACGATACCTTCATCATAAAAACTTCACTTTCTTGTTTAAAATTTATCTCTGCATCATTTCAACTTCTATAGCACTTGTAATCTGCATACTTCCCTTAAAGCATGTAATTACTTTCTCTCTTGTAATTCTTTCTTGTAAGATCACCTTGGCACCCCCACAACATTAAACACAATGCTCACAATGCCACAACATCAAGCACAATGCAAGGAATGCTCACAGAATGAACAAAGCCCCCACTCACCGGGCCGAAGGTAGAGGTCCGAGGAGGCTGCAGCGATCCGCTCCCGCTCCTTCTCCCGCTCCCTTTCACGTTCTCTTTCAGCACTCGCAGCTGCTGCAAGGTGTGTTGAGTGTCCTGGAAAACACATAAATCTGCAACCTGAAGACAAAATTATTAACCTCCCAGGTACATCAAACAATTTCAAAATTCTTAAGTGACTGAAAATTTTTCAAAAAGTTTCATATTTAAGATATAGGAGGTTCATTTTATTAGTCTCAGATGACAAATAGAGCATAACACAAGCTTTTAGGATATTTCTAGAGTATCTAGTGACATAGCAATAGGAACTATTACTAAATATGAAATGAAAAACAGCAGACCAAATGGGGGGAAAAATGCCCCAAATCCTTCAAAGTCTATGCCATTAACCTTTGAGCATGTGGGTCATATCAGAGAGGTGTGACTGTGTGGACTCTTACCTGGAGACATCGAAGCAGAGTTGTATGACCTGGGAGGGAAAGTAATCTGTGTACCAGGAATATAAGTGATTCTGTCCATGGGAGGAGTACTTGTTCCCCCTGGATGAGGCACTAAAATTGTTGGAGGCATATTGGTCAGATCAATGATTCCTGCTCAAAAGACAAATACAATAAAATTACATTAACTTTAAGTATTATTCTAAAGATACAGAACTACACATAGCTTTTTGTTTGTTTCTCTCTATAACCAATGGCACTTTATAAGACCTTCTTTAAATCTAGAGAAGGATATGAAATACTCTGTCCCATACCAGTAACCTAAAAGCATGGACTTAAGAGAGACAGAAAACTGGTAAAACAATGATTTCAAATATCTAGCACAATGACTTGGTTTAGTTATTTCTGTGTTCAACCAAAATACCCTGTCTCAATACATTACTTTGTTTGCCTTCAAAGGCTAAAGGCCTTCTTTTCTTTGTACCATTCAACAAATATTTATTGAGTGCCTAGGAAACCCTGGGTACACACAGTTAAGTCCTATGAAAACTATGCAAAGACACAGACCCCTTGTCGTTGGATACGGGAGACCCAGCTGCTGCTCTCGTGGGGAGAGTCCTCTGGCCACATCTGGGCGCAAGCTCACTTGCATCTGCTGTGAGGTAATGTAATCATTCAGGATGGTCTGTCTCGTATTTTCCATTGCATAAAGTTGATATTGACTTGGGTAACCTGGAGTTGGTGAGAGCTGTCTCTGAAACAGGTAAGCAGCAGCTGCTGATTGAGAGAACGAGAGAAAGGCATTTCGTTTAGTCTAGACAAAGTTCCTTTGCTAAACATCACCCACAAAAAGAGTAAGGAGAAAACAATCTGTTGAGTAATGTGTATATTCCTTTTATTTAGCATGGAGGCTGCTACAGAGATTAAGGTGGATTCATTTTAGACCTTGATATATCAGCAATATTAATTCTAATGTCAGATGTAATGGAAAAGGCGAAGGAGAAACCAGACAAAATACGAGCATTAACCTTTTTATCATTAGAACAGAAGCTAAAAAAATTCTCTAGTAGTGTCACCTTCAATCTTTGCCATGTAACTTTATTATATTTTCACGTGAAGTCTCCAAGAGCTATTTGAAAATAACATTATTTTTGAAGTACGGATTATCCAATACAACCAAATGGAAATATATGTGAAAACACTTTGTGACAAATCGTAACTTTACTTCTATGGGGGTGAAAATGATTAGTCTATAACCACTTAATCAGCCCATGTGTTTAGAGAAGGGATTAGCAAATTTTTCCTATAAAGGGCCAGTGGTAAAAAGTCCAGTCTTGCCCTGGCCGGTTTGGCTCAGTGGTTAGAGCGTTGGCCTGCGGTCCGGAAAGACCCGGGTTCGGTTCCCGCTAAGGGCACGTACCTCAGTTGCAGTATGTCCCCGGCCCTGGTTGGGTCGTGTGGGTGGCAGCCACTCGATGTGTCCCTTTCGTGTCGATGTTTCTCTCTCTCCCCCACTCTACCTGAACAAAAAATGGAAAAATGTCCTTGAATGAGGATAAAAAAAAAAAAAAAAAAAGTCCAGTCTTATGTCTCTGCCACTGAAGCCACAGACATAAGAAATGCATGTGGCCCTGGCCGGTTTTGCTCAGTGGTTAGAGCGTTGGCCTGCGGACCAGAGAGTCCCAGGTTCGGTTCCTGCTAAGGGCACGTACCTTGGTTGCAGTTCATCCTCAGCCCCACTTGGGGTTGTGTAGGAGGCAGCCAGTCGACATCGATGTTTTTCTCTCTTTTTTCTCTCTCCCCCTCCCGTTCTATCTGAAGATAAATGTAAAAATATCCTCGGGTGAGAATAAAAAAGAAAGAAAAAAATGCATGTGGCTGTGTGCTAATAAAACTTTATTTACACAGGCAGGAGCAGAATTTTGCCTGTAGGCCGTAGTTTGACATGACACAAGTTATTACGAATGGGTAGGTATGGTAAAAAGAAAAATATAACGTCTCTATTCTCAAAACATTTGTAATCCAGTAAAAGCTCAAAAATGACAAGCAGGCCCTGGCCAGTTTGGCTCCGCGGTTAGAGCATCAGCTTGCGGTCCGGAGAGACCCGGGTTCGGTTCCCGCTAAGGGCATGTACCTCTGTTGCAGTTTGTCCCCAGCCCTGGTGGGGTCGTGTGGGTGGCAACCACTCGATGTGTCCCTTTCATGTCGATGTTTCTCTCTCTCTCTCTCTCCCTCCCACTCTATCTGAACAAAATATCAAAAAAAAAAAAAAAATGACAAGCAAATCAAATTGCTATAAAATAAAGGACTGTGATAGATACGAAATGAAAGTATAAACATTCAATTTTGTCAGAACTTGAGGAAACTATTATATATGAAGTATACATATATATATTTTCAACCCAGAACAATGTATGACAAGTTTTCTGGAATGTCTGCTTCCCATTCATCTTGAACTCTAGCCAGGTAAGCCTGTCAACTGATTCTACAGGAACTTTGGCCTCAGTTCTGGACAATCCTAAAGGACTAGATGTGGACTCATCTAAAAACTTAATGTTCTCAATTAACAAACAATTTAATGGCAGTAATACAGCTTTCAGGTAAAATATTTTCTACACATACTCTTAGAAATCTTGGCATACAAGTAATGAAATTGTTCCCTAAAGACCAAGGTGAAACACAAGTATTCTGTGCCCCAATTTCAACTTGAATGATGTAACAGGCAGAAGAAGTACGAGCAAAAAAAAAAGTGAGTCTGAGCAGGCAAGAGGAACAGGGCCTGGGACCTGGGAGGACAGGCTGGAGCCCACACAGTAGGTGGGTCAAGACAGACAGCCCAGCAGAGACTCCCCACCGACCTCCTGAGTGTGTTCGGACGGAACTCCTTTCCCTTTGCAGAGCTGCCCTGCCCCTGGTAGAGCATCACTGTGTCCAGTGCAGACTGCTCTCCAGAAAACCTAGACACTTCTATACCTACCAGAATTACAATTACCCACAGTCAGTGGTGTTCGTTCAAAAGTTCCTTCTAGCTATAGTTGCTACTGTAATTATGTAACTTAATGAAATAATCTGTAAATCAATGAGAGAAAAATGAAAAGAGTGGTTTCTCTGGAAATTAAGTTGAATGCTTTGGAAAGACTCAATATAAAAGTTGAATCAAGTATGGACTAGACAATTTTAAAAAATGGGGGGACAATCTAGAAAGATTCTGTATTTAGATTTGAAGTGTCTCTAAATTCTAGCTTCACTTAAAAAAAACCCAAACCTGAAAATGTAAGTATTGTTTATATAAGAAAGACAATAGTGAGGTTTAATCAGTGGACCTTGGCCTTAGATTAGAACACTGGTAAATGAATGTCTATGTTGTAAATGAAAATGTTTAAGCTAAACCTGTGCCATTTAAAAATAATTCTTCACATACATTAACCCATTTTTTTTTCAACTATCTTAAACAAATGCCATCAAATAAGAGTTTTCATATACCTATTACTTCTAGTTCTTTAAGGGGTACTAGTAGTATTTTGTTTCCTGTCTTAGATGGTGGTAACATGTGGGTGGTACAGTCTGTGAAAATTAATTGAACTGTACACTGAGATATGCAACCATCTGCATACTGTATTTTAGTAAAGTTTAAAAAGGCACATAGGTATATTGTATCTTTGCCATAAATCAGCACTGTACATTCTGCTCACCGGGATCTAGAGCCCTGTGAAATGGCATGGCTGGATCCAGATGTGTGGGAAGATGGCTCCGGTAACCCTCTCCTGTAGTGCCTCCCCGATGATGAGGGTCGAAAGGACTGTGGCTCAGGACAGGGTCCACCCCAGGGACTGGAGACTTCGCGGGTATGCTTTCCCTCTGGGTAGGGGTCAGTGTTGATTTTCTTTCATGATTGATAGATTTGCTTGAAGAAATCGTAACTGGAAAAGAGAGTCAACACCACAAAGTCTTAAGACAACATACTGAGTATAGTATTTCACCATTTCTCAACCAGTCAAATACAGACTATAGTCATATAACATTTTGATCTTCCCTGCCCACTAAACATTTAACATTCAACCTTGCAAAATATGCAAATGTTAAGAACTATGAGAAGATTTTGAGATTTGCAGATTACTACAGATCATTGCACCAGCATTTTCTGATCTAATTTTAAGATTAAAATGAAGTTCAGTCCTCTTCTTTAAATCCCATTACAAATAATTTTGTTCTCTGTATGACTTTAATCTTCTCAATTCCTCTGATCTCACATGTACCAAATCTCAACTTCCTCTCTTTGTATTACACAGCCTCCTTGGTGCCCATCAGTCGCTGTAGTCCCCCCTCCCTCTTTTTCTCTTTTGTATTCTGTGGTTTCATTTACCCATGGTCAACTGCAATCCAAAATATTAGATGGAAAATTACAGAAATAAACAATTTATAAACATTAAATTGTGTACCATTCTGCATAATGTGATTGAAATCTCATGCCTCCCTGCTTGTCTCCACATAGTACATGCACTGTAGGAACGCTACCTGCCCATTAGTCACTTAGCAGCCATCTCGGTTATCTGTACAAGTACTACAAGGCTTGTGTTCAAGTCACCCTTATTTTACTTAATAATAGTGCCAAAGCACAAGAGTAGTGATGCTGGCAATTTAGATATGTCAAAGAGAAGCCATAAAGTGCTACCTTTAAGTGAAAAGTTATGTATAGGGAAAAACCTACTACATACAGGGTTCGGTACTATCCTCAGTTTCAGGCATCCACTGTGGATTCTGGAACATATCCTCTGCAGATACGTGGGAATTACTGTACTCTTTTGCTCTGTACTTCCACAAAGACTTCCTCATTACCTCACCAAGCTGCATCACCTCCCTACTCCAGCCTCTTCTTTTATTCAGGGAGGTTAGATGATCCCATCAACGCCTATTATATGCAAGCACTTATTGGCCATCGCCCTCAATTGTTTTAATAACTGTGACAAAACACTGCTACATGTGATTTATAAGAAATACATATGTGGTCTTCATCCACAGTTCCTGACTCATAGCTCCCAAAATCCTTGGAATTTCTTAAGTATCAGAGGGATAAAGGTATCATTTTTGTTGTGTTCACATCAGTGATTCAGAAAGCACCTAGGAAAGGGGGATGGTTGGCATGCGAACCAACCTGTGATCAGAGAGTTGGAACTTTCAGTCCCACTCCCTGACCTCCAGGAAGGCTGGAGGGTGAGTTTAACTGTCAATGGCCAGTGATTTAATCGATTATGCCTTCAAAAAAACAGAAACAAAAACCAAAAGGACCGCCTTCAGAAAGCTTCCTGGTTGGTGGGCAACAGTGGTGCTGGGAGAGTGGCATGGACCTCCACATGCCTTACCACATACCCTGCTCTATGCATCTCTTTCTTCTCTGGCTGGTCCCTAGTTATATCCTTTTATTTATGTGTATGCTTGTTTATCCTCACTAGAGGATGTTTTCTCATTTTTAGATAGAGTGGAAGGGAGGGAGTGGGGTATTGATGTGAGAAAGACATCTACTGGTTGCCTCCCACATGACCCGGACCTGGGCCAGGATAGAACTTACATCCCAGGTACATGCCCCACCCCTTAACCAGAATCAAACCTTTGACCCTTCAGTCAGAGGGCTGATGCTCTAACTGCTGAGCAAAACTGGCTAGGGCATATCTTTTTATAATAAACTGGTGAATGAGTAAAATGTTTCTCTGACTTCTGTGAGTCATTCTAGAAATAAATTGAACCCAAGGAGGGTGCTGTGGGACCTCCGATTTTTTGCCAGCCCATCAAAAGTATGGGTAACCACCTCGACTTGTGATTGGCATCCTGCATTGGAGGTTGTCCTTAGAACCTCCAATCTGCAGCCAGTTGGTCAAAAGCGGAAGTGGGGAAGGAGGAAGGAGGGAATGGGTACAAAGTCTTATACACTGAACTCTTAACCTGTGGAATCTGATGCCATCTCTGGGTAAATAGTGTTGAAACTGAGTTGAATTCTTGGATACTCTGCTGATGTCTGAGAATTGCTAGTTGATGTGGGGAATCCCACCACACGGCATATTGAAAACTGGGTCTCAGAGCACCCAAAATAAACAATAGAAAATAAGACCATTTTAGCCATTTTAAAGGGTAAAATTTAGTGGCATTAATACACTTACAATGTCATGCAACCATCACCACCATCTAATTATTAATACTTTGATAATATCTACTTGACCATGATCAAACAAATCTGGCCACAACCAAGAAACACACTCTGGTTTATTATATCCCTTTCCAAGCCTCAACTTACTCAAATATAGACTACATTTTCCCTCTGCAGGGCATTTCTTTTCAAAACTACAGCCAAAAGGTTTGGATTTACCACCCTACTCCTAAGCAGGCCCTTCCCTTTTTCTCTCCCTCAATGCTATTACTACAACTCTCCCAACACCTAAATCACATTTCACCTTTACAGCTCTCGCAGTGTCCAGCCCAGGACCTTGCACATGAGCCATCAGTTAATATGTACTTCAATAAAATTTTAAATGATAATTGGATATATTTTTAAGAAAGCTTCAGACAATTTAGAACCACCTGACAAAAATCAACGTCTCTCCTACCTTACTGATGCACACACCAGTAACAATAATAGTTCTCATTTACTGAATTCTTCAAACACACCTAGCACTATTATTTTTTTAATCCTCACTAGAGGATATTTCTTCATTTTTTGTTCAGATAGAGCAGGAGGAAGGGAGGGTGAGGGAGGGAGGGAGAGAGAAAGAGAGAGAGAAACATTGATGTGAAAGGGACACATCGAGTGGCTGCCACCCGCACAACCCAACCAGGGCCGGGGACAAACTGCAACCGAGGTACATGCCCTTAGCGGGAACCAACCCGGGTCTCTCTGGACCGCAGGCTGACGCTCTAACGCTGAGCCAAATCAGCCAGGGCTACTCTTTTAAAGTTCTTTACACATACTACTTCATTTTGTCCTCACAATAATCCGGTGAGGTAGGTCTTAATATTACATTACCATTTTATGGATGAGAAAAACTTAGGCAAAGAAAAAATTAAGTACTTTGTCCAAGTTCATGAAGTAAGAACCTTAGTTCAAGACTAAAAAGTTTTGCTTCACAGCCTAAACTTTTACCTACCACACCAGATTGCTGCTGAAGAAACAACTATCAAAACTGACTTTCAGGAAAACTTAGCGAATTAGCTGGAGGGAAAAACCAAAAACTCCCCTCTAAGACTAAACTTATTCTAGAGCATTTCTGGACTCCGTCATACTCTGCACCTGATTAAAATACTGGGTATTTTACCTACAATTATGCCTACTTTTAATTTGGCAGCCCTCCATAGCCCTAGCATCAAGCACAACCTGTAGATCCTGTGACAATGTAAAGTTAACAATTTGACATTTATTACTTGCCAGACATGAAAAAGCACAATAAAAATGATCAGACAAGGACACAAGAATAACATACCATCAGAAGTTCTATTCATCATGGGTGAGCCTCTGGACATGGTGTTTTGATAACTCACAGGTGTTCGCCGTGCACTGGTGTCATCATAAATCCCTGGGCTCAGCTGTGCTTTGGGAGCTTCATGAAGTGTTGATCTAAGCACCGAGGGACCAGAGCTTACCACAGAAGTATGCCGGGATCGCACCTGTTCTCCTGCTTTCACATCCTCGTATTTCCCCCGTTCTATCACTTTTATGTTCTCTGGCACAATTTCCAGGGGAGGCATTCCACGGGCTAGTTTGCTAGGTCCCGTGATTAAGGATTTGACATTGTGTTTGATGGCAGATTGACCTGAGTTGCTGTCAAACTTTATTGGTGTACCCTAAAGGGAAAGAAACGAACATTATAGGTAGCCCAAAGCACCTGAATATTTTCCCATCTAAGGTCTATGTTTGGGTCATAAAAATTATAGTCTGTTGTTGTAATTGCTAGTTTCTTTAAATTACAGTTTACATTCAACATTATTTTGTATTAGTTTTAGGGGTACAACACAGTGATTAGACAAGCATACACTTTATAAAGTGGTCCCGATATTTCAAGTATCCACCTGGCAAGGTACATAATTATCACAATATTACTGACTATACTCCTTATGCTGTGCTTTACAGCCCTGTGACTATTTTTTTTTAAATCCTCACCTGATGTGGTATAAAGAGCCCGTGTCTTCTGTGTGTGTCTAACACTAGCTCTGACAGGCTGAGCTCACATGTCCCATAGGAGACATACGAGTGTTAAGTGTGTCCAAAGGAGGCAGCAGGAACAGGCTGCTGTTTGGAAAGATGACTTTGTGCTATGCTTGCTTTCACCCAGGTCGCCCCCCCCCGCACCCCCCCCCCCCACACACACTTTGGGAGATTTGAGCTTTAAAGGAATATAAGATGTGGCAATCTAAGGTCACCAGTGGGTTTTTTCCCCCCTGTATCTACCCTGGTGTGGTCCCTGGATATACAGGGTTGGAGTTCTTATATTATTCCAGTTCATCCTCAAGAATTGTAAATATTTCTTGGACCCCTCCATCTTGATACTAAAAATTAGAAGCCAAACCAATTCTTAAATGCTATATGCAACTCCCAGGTCCCAAAGAATTCAAGATCTAATAATAAGCTTTGAGGTCTGTAGAGTGGGGCTCAAATTCAGTTCTTACTTCTATCTGGAGATGCTGTTCCTATTCCCCTCACATCCCGCTTACGTTCCTGGATGTGCTCCACTGAACACCATGGAATTCATTGGCAAAGTTATCTTTGTTTTAAAATGGAGACATAGGGAGCAAAACACTGTCTAACATCCTTTACACCTTGCTTCACTTCTGGTATGGTTTATTAACCAGGGAAGAACAAAGTGAAAAACTTTTTTTGGTGGGGGATATAACTGTTCCTACTTATCTTGCTCATAGTCTTTTCTTGTGGGATATTAAGGTCTTGGTGTCTTAAAGCAACCTTCAGTATGTCAGCAGCATTTCACCTGTAAAATTGCTAAACTGAGCCTGTTAGGCCTAGTACTTAACACAGATACATCATTTAACCCATTCCGCTTCCCGTTCCTGTTTTTGCAGGGTTTGGAGGAGAGTTCTTAAGTATAGAGGTCCTTAACGCTCCCCATCCTCTAACCTTACAAGACAGAGTTGTGAGTCTTAGGTACCTGAAATATAGATGCTACCCCAAATTGAACCGCACTACACCACCTTACACCGGTCCCATCAAATACAAGACTGGAGAAAAATCTTTCTGAAAGTTTGTGTTGGAAGGGAAGGGTAAGCTCTATACATTCCCTCCTTAGGAAGGATTCCTCATCCCTTAAGTGATTCCATTTGCTCAATAAGAGACGCATTAGCCTTTGGGATCAAACCCAGAATTTCAATCTAATTATTAAACTTATTGTCAACCCCCAGATAATTTTTCTGAAGAAACTAGTTTCTTAATCTAAATCCTTCACTAACTCGACAATTCTGACTCACACTAATCCCAAGCTTTTAAATGCTAAATTTTAACATTTAGCATTAACTGGTGTTAAGCAAAGGGCCTGTTCTACAACCTAGTACATCTCATTTCTGGTGCTACCTGAGTTGGACACAATTAGAGCTCATGGTTGCTAGAAAAACTAGGCCTCTGATCATAGAAGCAGGCAGCTTCAGTCCCGCTTCATCCAGGCCTAGACAAATGACCTACTGCAACTCATTATTTTCAAATTTCCTTTCTCACTATATACAGGTAGTATTTTCAATGTGAATCCAAAGCTTGTCTGGTCCTCTGAAAACAAAAAAATTTTTTTTGCCTTTTAGGTCCTTTACATTGTGATAATGCTGTATTTAAAGAGAATATTTAAATGTAATATTAAAGAAATACTCAAAAGAAAAAAAACTCCTCACCTGAGGATATTTTTCCACTGATTTTTTTTTTAGAGTGGGAGGGAAGAGAGGGAGAAACATCGATGTGAGAAAGACACATCAATTGCTTGCCTCCCGCATGACCCTGAAAAGGGCCAGAATCGAACCCTTGACTCTGGTCTGTGGGCTGATGATGCTCTATCGCTAAGCCAAACTGTCCAGGGCACTGTGACTACCAATTTGTAACTACCAATTTGTACTTCTTAATCCCTTTGCCTTTTTCACCCATCCCCCCAACTCCCTTCCCCAGCTGATAACCCTCAGTTGGTTCTTTTTATTTATAAGCTTGTTTTGTTTGTTCATTTATTTTGTTTTTTTAATTACACACATAAGATAAATCATATGGTATTTGAATTATTTCACTTAGTAATTTCCTCTAGGCCCATCCATACTATTGCAAATGGTACAATTTCATTTTTTCTAATGGCTGAATAACATTGCTGAGTAATATTCCATTGTATATATTTGTGACAACTTCTAAAAAATATATTTTTTCTTTATTGATTTGAGAGAGAGAGGAAGGAAGAGGGAGAGAGAGAGAGAAACACTGATGAGAGAGAACATCAATTGGTTGACTCCTGCATGCCCATAACCTGGGCAGTGCCCTGACTGGAAATCGGTGCATGGGTAGACACTCAACCAGTGAGGCACATCGGCCAGGTACAACTTTTTTTTAAATCCTCACCGGAGGATATGTTTTTATTGATTTTTAGAGAGAGAGAGGAAGGGAGGGAGAAAGAGAAACACTGATGTGAAAGAGAAACATCAATTGGTTGCCTCCCTTATGTGCCCTGACTAGGGATCAAAACCACAACCCAAGTATGTGCCCTGACCAAGAATCAAATCAGCAATCTTTTGGTGTATAGGAGGATGTTTGAAGCAAGTGAGCTACCCAGCCAGGGCTGTACCACAACTTTTTTATCCATTGGTGTACTGATGGACACTTGGGTTGCTTTCATCTTGGCTATTGTAAATAATACTTCAATGATCATAGGCGTGCATATATTCTTTCAAATTTGTGTTTTGGATGTAGTGATCTTTGTTGTCTATGTGCATGTCCTGAGTTGCATACTGTCCCACATTATACACTCCACACTATGAACATAATAAAAACTAACAATAAAGCATGTTTACTTCCAAAAGCTCTGACCTCAAAAGAACTACTCATAATTAAATGTTTCATAAACATCACAGTCTCAAGTGGAATGACTGACAAAAAGAACCACGATCCAGTTACCTGGGAGATGGAACCCTCAATTATCGGCCTTGTGCTCTGGACCACTTCTGGAGTTTTTCGGCTCTCCTGAGTTAGAATATCTTGTCGTGGAATCTCATGAATGGAACGCCCCATTTCTTTGATAGTGGTAATGCCATCATATGGTTTTCCTTTGGTAATGGCACCTTCAAATGCTCGTATGGGAGGACTCTCCCTTTTAATCTGTTTGGGATATTTAAGGCCATCTTCAAAGCTTTCAGTTGTTGCTCTTGGTGTGCCTTTAAGTAAGAATTCAAGAAACATACTTATTAAACTACCATCCATGGTTACATAACAACGCTATTGAATTATACACTTAAAAATTGTTAAAATGATAAATTTGGTTACATATATTTTACCACAATTTTAAACAAGTTTGAAAAAGTAATGCCTTGTCATCTTGCAGTTTCTAATCAATTTTCTGTTTATAACATCTTCAAGTAAATAAATATTCATCAGTCATTTTTTTAGGGTTGTTCACATTTTTTTTTTTTTTTTTTTTAATCCTCACCCGAGGACATTTTTCCTTTTTTTTTTGTTCAGGTAGAGTAGGAGGGAGAGAGAGGAATATATATAGAGAGAAACATCGATGTGAAAGGGACACATTGAGTGGCTGCCACCCACACAACCAACCAGGGCCGGGGACAAACTGCAACCGAGGTACATGCCCTTAGCGGGAACTGAACCCCGGTCTCCCTGGACCTCAGGCCGACGCTCTAACTGCTGAGCCAAACCGGCCAGGGCTACGGTTGTTCAGATTTTAATACACCATTTGTCACAATGACAGAATGGTTCTTACATAACAAAGATGTCTTCATATTCAAAGATTAGGCAGCTATCATCCTCAAATAAAGTATGTAGCTCAGAAAACAGAAGATTTGTAATTGAGATTTAAATATCTAATATTTCAAAGAGGAAAATATCTTAAAAAACAGGTTTCAAGCACTGCAAATTAATGTGAAACTACTTTGTCAGTGAGGCAGTCGTGACAAACAAGTAAAATGTTTACCCTGCATTATGGAACCAGATAGCACAGTTCTTTCTTTGAGGTCAGAATGAGGACTCCCCCTGGGTAATGCTCGGCATATCAGCCCTTTCAAAACAAGAAAGCAATTCAAGTATTACACACAATGCGTATGTCAATCCACATATACTTTATACTGAACCTTAGAGTATATATTTTTGATGAAACTTCTACGGAGAAAGGAATATCATTTTAAACTATGTATCGTGCCAGGTCAGTACTAGATTTATCAGCGGATCACCTCATAATATAAATGTCTAAGCACTATGCTTTAGACCTGAAACTAATATGATACTGAATGTCAACTGTAACTGAAAAAAGGGGAGATAATTTAAATTGGTGAGCTTTTCAGAAGCTTGTCATTGAATCAAGTTGAAAGTACCACACATGACATCACCTATTCCTTTTTAAATAATCTTCCAAAATAGAAAATGGCCACAAAAGACATCTATTATAGCTCAAAAAAGGAAAGAAAGACACTTTCAAAACTAACCCTAAAATTCCAATGCTTCTTTATCAAGGGAGAGAAAATACAAAGGGACTGAAAATCATTGTTTAGCTTTGAAATATATCTGAGAGAAAAACACAAATGATATCTCAAAAACAGATAAAACATTAAACAGCATGCGAATCAAAATTAAAGAGTCATAAATAAGCTCTTAAGTTTCACATTCTATGTGTACAGAGTAGGCAAAAGTAGGTTTACAGTTGTTAGTATGAAAAATAGGAATTAGTAAATAATAATACAAGAATAAACTCTGTATTTCACAGTCACAGTTTTTATCCCACCCTGTATTGTTGATAAATGGAGGAGTCTTTACCCTGTTTTTAGTATTTCATCTAGATTAAAATTAAATAGTTGAGTCAGGTTAAGAGTTAAAGTGTTATTAAAACAACAAAACCATACTATCATTTACTGAATGCCTATCATATGATCAGCACAGGTTGGACACCTGTTTCTAACCTCACACAGTAGGTACAATCCCCTAATTTACAGAAGAAACAGGTTCAGAGAAATTCACCAAGAAAGGGTGATTCAAATACATGTCTTTGCTCAATCCATTACACCAGCTTATCTGCCTCACAATCCAAAGTTCTCATAACAAATTTGACATTTTAACTTCATTTAACTCACACAGAAAATATCTACAAACTATATGAGCATTCTAATAGTTACCTACAATGTGACCAATTAAGTTTAATTTTTACTTCCCTCCACTGTCATGTAGCACCTGATTTATATTTATATTAATGTAGCACCTACATATTAATAGTATCTTAATATTAATATTAATACAAGTTTCATTTATATATTAATATAAATTTCAGGTAAAAACAACAGATTGAATACAACCTATCCCAACAATGTAAATCTACTATACAAAATGAAACATATCTAAATGCTGTTCTGGAAACAAGATTTTACCCTCTAACGGTGCTGATACAGGAGACTCCCTCATTGACAACCCTTGCTTTATATTTCCTTCCACTGATTCATAGCTTCTTTTTAAACTGATTTCATGAGCTGTTCTCGGACTCCTTGTCCCTTCTCGGGCATTTTTAATATCTGCAGAATATAGAAACAAGAATTGCTCAGACAGAGCTCAAGGCCTATTGTACAGAAAGAAAAGTTATTGTAATTTCATAGTCTTTCTTATAAAAATAATATAAAAACTAGTCTTAACCTACAATATACATCTGTGAAATGATAGTAATAAAAATGTTTTCATTCATTCAAATATATTTATTGAAGTTAACAAATTAAGTCCCTTTGCTTATGAAACTTACCCAATAATGGCAAATACAGATAAGTTAATAGGCAATTACTACAGGGTATAATAAGTACTATGAAAAGAGAAGTACAATGTGCTATGAGAATGCTGGAAGGGAAACCTAATACTTAAAGGTACAGATAAGGCTGCCTAGAAGTAATGTTCAAGCTGAGAACTGAATGACAAATAAGAGATGCTTAAGTCAAAAGTAAAGGGAGGGCCCAGCTGGTATGGCTCAGTGGTTGAGCATCCACCCGTGGACCAGGAGGTCCTGGTTCGATTCCCAGTCAGGGCACATGCCCAGGTGGCAGGCTCGATTCCCAGTGGGGGCCATGCAAGAGTCAGGCAATTGATGTATCTCTCTCATTGATGTCTCTATCTCTGTCTCCCTCTCCCTTCCTCTCTTAAAATCAATTAAAAAATTTAAAAAAAAAAAAGAAAAGGGAGGAAGAGGTGATATAGGCCAAGGCAACAATGAACACAAAGACCCCAAGGTAAGACAGAGTATTGTACATTAAAATAATTTAAGTTTGACCTGTCCAGGTAGCTCAGTTGGTTAGAGCATCATCCCAATACACTAAGGTCAGGGGTTCGATTTCCGGTCAGGGTACATATAAGAAGCAACCAATCAGCATGAACAAGTAGAACAACAAATCTCTCTTTCTCTCCCTCAAATGAATGAATGAATGAATGAATGAACAAATGAACTCAGCTAATAGCCAATGCGTAGAGGGAAGATGGGAGAAAAGAGTATAGGAAGAGTAAATGCAAAGAGGCTAAGGGAAAAAGTGGGAAGGGAACAATTTGAAGAGATAAGCTGGAAGCAGATCATGGAGGGGTGATGAAGCGAAGGTAAGGCGCTTACAACAACCTTAAAGGCAATGGAGAGTCAAGTAGGAAGTGGCATGATGTACAGTATTGACTATGGGTTAAAACTGAAGGCAGGGAAATCAGTTAGGCAGCTACCAAGCCATCCAAAAGAAAGATGATGTTAACAGTGGGGAATAAACAGAAATGGATGGATTCCAGAGACTTTAGGAAAGACAACAGAAACAGCTCGGTGACTGATTGAATGAATGTGGAAAGCTTCCAAAGGAGTAGTCAAAGATGACATCCAGATTTCTGGTTTTCTCCAGAAACAAAATATAAATCAATACATGCCAGAATGTTAAAACAACAAAAGAGGAAGGAAAGAAGAAAGTTACATATATTTCGCATCAGGCACTATGTGCTCACATACTTTATTTCTTTATATTTGAAGAGAAAGATAAAGCATGACTAATGACCACCCAGATCATAAAAACAATTGCATATAAGAACTCAAATCCAGTTTATCACTTGGTTTTTATGCCATAACTGAGTCATTCTTGTAAAATCATGTTACTGGGAAAATATAACTGAAAAGTACATCTAAAGAAATGTTTTCATACAGACATTAAAATAGTTATCTTTAAGGAGAATTTACATTCAATACCCTTTCCAAGATTATCAGACTATTCATCTACTCCCTAATGCTTAACTTATAAAATAGGAATCTCTTTAAAATAAAAGTGATTATATTAAAGTTAACAAATATTCTTTTCCTAGGCTAAATCAACAAATTGAATTGACATTAGCTGCCACTTTGGCAGCAGTATGAGGTCTGCACTGTTAATCAACTGTCTTAGTTAATTTTTCACAAATGTTTCATGAGAAGGTACTATTATTAACCCCTTTTACATAAAGGAAACTTGGGCTCAGGGAAGGGAAACTAACTTCCCTAAAGGAAGTATGGGGGGAACCAGAGGCCATGTTTTTAGTCACACGTTACAGTACTAGCTTCACTATAGAGACATAATACTTACTATCATAAGATAAGATGTGTCCACTTTTGCCTTCATAAATAACATGGCCTTTGGATGCAGCTTCCTCTCTGCCTTTCTCAGGACTGCTCTCTTCAATGGGTATTCTAGAAATGGGTCCCTTCATCAAAGCCTCAGTTGGTATGCCAGCCTGGGACAGAGCCGGGGTACCCTGCCATCAAATCAAATATAAGTACCAGAAAAGTCACTAGAGTTTAGTGGAAATGCAAGATACTCAAAATTTAATTTACCACACCAAGAGTCAGATTAACCCACAACTTCAAAGAAAAATCAAGCACATGAGAGGAAATCAGACATTAAGTTTTTATAAACCAAGAAATACTATGTATCTTAACCCTTGAACACTGACATATAAAACTTCTTAAAATGCTGATAAATCCATGACTTCAATCAGTTCTCCTTCTCACCGTGAAGTCAAATCTTTATGAAAGGACTTAACTGGAGGAAAAAAAATTGTTTTAAGGCCTAAACATCATGCAAATGTAATAAAGCTTTTTCAAAATTTCTAATAAAAATAAGATAGTAAGTTACATTGTACCACAACTTTCTCATAATGTGGTAAGAGGAAAAAACAACCTTCAATTACCAAATTGTCCTATGGGTTAGACCTCTGGTCATCAACAAGAGAAAGGGGAAAAAGATGCAGATGCCTCCAGTTTGTAATATGGATTCAGTTTAGGCCATATCACCTGAATTTTCACCATCATTAGTCCTCTTCTGGACTGCCTATGACCATGGTTCTTTTTACCCTTCCTTTAAGCAGTAAACCCTTCCTCCAGGGAAAATTATTCACGAAACCTAGTACGTAGAGTACTTCGTACAAGTGAGCTTCTTGGGTTGAAATGGAAGTGGAAGGCCCAGACCTAGCCCACTCACACATTTCAAGTCCCCAAAATTCTAGACAGGGCAATGTGAAATGACATGCTCACAGCAGGAAGAATAATGAGACCAATACATTTACTCATTTAGCCATTAAATGAGCTCAGTAGCAAAACATGTGGAAATTTTTCATATCTATTTTGAAGGTAACCATGTCAGACTGATTTAAAAATAAACAGATAAAGCCTAGTCTCCTTTGATCTAGTTCATTCTGTCTTCCTACCCACAGATTGGATACTAGAATGAAAATGAAGAAAAAAAAAATATATGCATACACCATTTATTTTTCTTCTGTTTATATTAAAGTGTTTGCTTATTCTACAAACTAATTTCAGGGGGACATATACTTGGGTCTAAGGTGGAAGAAGAGATCTGAAGAGTTAGTATGCAACTTTCTAGAACACTATATGCTATGTACTATAAACTATGTCTTCAGGAGGAATTACTGTGGGGACCTTATTAAAATGAAGATTCAGATTCAACAAGTCTAAAATGAGGACTGAAATTTCTGCATTATTTTTTGTTTAATCCTCACCTGAGGACATTTTTGCATTTATCTTTCAGATAGAGTGGGAGGGAGAGAAGGAGGAAGAGAGAGAGAGAGAGACATCGATGTGAGAGAGACACATCAACTGGTTGCCACCCACACAACCCCAACTGGGGCCAGGGACAAACTGCAACTGAGGTACATGCCCTTAGCGGGAACCAAACCCGGGTCTCTCTGGTCCACGGGCCAACGCTCTAACTGCTGAGCCAAACCGGCCAGGGCTCTGCATTATTTTAACAAGCTCATAGTGATGCTGATGCTCTGGGGCACAAACTACACTTGGTCAGCAAGGTCCTAGAGCATGGTTTTCAAACTGTCATGCAGCAGAAATCACTGGAGGGCTGAACAATTCAGACTGCTGTGTCCTATCCCCACGGGTGAGATTTCAGTACATCTGGGGTGGGGGCTCATTTATATATAACAATTTCTCGGGTGACACTGATGCTGCTGGTTCTGGAGACCACACTTTAACAAACACTGTCCTAGGGAACAGGAACAACAAGAAAGAGGAACAGAACAGAAAATCTGTGATAGGTACAATGTGCAAAAGTACCGAACTCTGTTTATAATAATTCCCCAACAAAGAATTTTCCTTTCCCAGATCTACAATAAAGATGATAAGGACTGTTTTACATTTCAAACCAAAATTAACATCTAACTGAGGAAAATACCTTTTATTACTCAAAAATGGCAATTTATTTAGCCTAAAATTGGAAGAAGATACGTGATTTTTGGTGTTTAAAATGGCATCCATACTTCCTAGTTTAGCTTTAGAGTCTAGCAAGGCAGCTTACATATTAAGATTGTAGACCTTCCTTTTCACAAAAGGCAAAAACAAGCAAATACTTTACAATGATGTTCTTCTCAATTTCTATTTAAGCTGAGCATATGGTAAAAGCTTTGCCAGGGAGACAGTAAAAGCTGCACCAATAGGAGTTTGTTTCTCCTACCAACTTCAAATAATTGACCTTTAAAAAGAACCACAATATAGATAATACATTTTGAAATAAAAATAATCACACTAATGCCCTGGCTGGTTTGGCTCAGCAGTTAGAGCACTGGCCCGAGGACCAGATAGTCCTGGGTTTGGTTCCTGCTAAGGGCGTGTACCTCAGCTGTGGCTCATTCCTGCCCCGGTTGGGGTCATGCAGGTGGCAACCAATGTATCTCTCTCAAATCGATGTTTCTCTCTCTCTCTCTCTCCTACTCCCTCTCTCCCTCCCGTTTTGTCTGAAGATAAATACAAAAAAAGTCCTCAGGTGAGAATAAAAAAAAAAAATCACATTAATGTCATTATGCAGATAATTTATGGATCTGGGATTTATCATCACTGAAACCCAGTCCCATAACACAGAGCAATGAACAACTTAATCACAAAACTATATCGCTAAAACAGCCAAAGCTCTTGAGACTTGACCTCCAGTGTTCTCAATATTACAGAAATAACTGTAACTAACCTGAGTGATAGAACCCCGTAGAGATGGGATGCTTTCCACAGAAATTTTGCTGGTTGGAGTTCCCCGGGTTATACTTCCTTCTTGAGTGGCTCCTGTGGTACCTGAATAAAAACAAAATTATTAGCAAATTACATCCCCTACCCCTGCAAAAAAACAAACAAACAAAAACAAAAATCAGCCCCTTCTTGGGAGAGGGATAAGAAGAGAAGAAATCAACAGCAGAAAAAATACTTTTTGTTTATGAAAATGTACTTTTAAAATAATACTGCAATTATTACAAAGGGCCCTAAAATGTGGAATTTCAAAGTTCCTAAATCATTCTTATATGGAAAGAAAACTTAAATTTAGAATTTAAAGGCTCTAACTTAAAAACCCACCATTAAAACACATCAATTACTGCTCTGGCCAGTTTGGCTCAGCAGTTAGGGTGCTGGCCTGTAAACCAAAGGGTCACAGGTTTGATTCTCAGTCAAGGGAATGTACCTAATTTGCAGGTTCGATCCCTGTCCCAGCTGGGGTCACGTGGGAGGCAACCAGTCAATGTGTCTTTCACACATTGATGTTTGTCTCTTTCTATCTCCCTCCCTTCCACTTTCTCAAAAAAAAACAAAACAATGAAAAAATGTCCTTAGGTCAGGATTAACAACAACAAGACGAAAAAAACAACAACAACAAAAACAAATCAATTGCTTACTTTAGTAAATTTATTGGGGACAAAAGTTTAATATTTCTGCCAAAGAGCATATTTTTACCTCTGACCACTCCTTCATGTTGTGCCCTGACCAATAAACCCTCAGGTTGTGAGTTTTGGCTTCGAGGAGAAAATTCTTCCTGCTTGATATACGGCACAGCAGCTATGGACAAAAGCAAGAGAAAAATATAGAGATCAAGTGCTGAGTTACTGACTATGATACTGCCAATGCAGAAACATGAATATGTACTCACTGACCTGATTTGGCAGATTCCTGTTGCCGTGGCAGTCCAAGAGAAATAGAGCCCACTGAGGGCTTAGTTGTTTCTTGAGTGTAGGAAGCCTGATTATGAGAAGTCAAATAAGTGCCAGGTGTTCCCTAAAAATAATTTTAAAAGACTAAATAACACTCTTTTCAAAGGTCAACTATAATTTTAATGTTCACATCTCTGTTTACAGAAATTTACTGCCCACATTTTAAAATAGGTATTTGTAAAGCAAGAAAATGGTTATATGGTCAAGTAATCTGTGTTTACGTGGTCAATTAATAAAATGCCAACTAATACAAAATTAATAAAACGGTCAATATTAAAAATGTCAATTAATCTACACTTATATATTAGCCTATGCTCATATGGTGAATTAAACTACGACAAAAGAGGCTGGGATATCTAATGGGGAAAAGACAGTCTCTTTGTAAACTGGACAGATACATGCAAAAGATTAAAAAATGAAGCTGGGTAAAGGCAGGGGCTCTGGGATACTTGAATCTTTGCCTGGCCTATTACTCTACCGGGGAGAGTAAGACCAGACACTGATGTTCAGCTTGGACCCTTCCATACACAACCAAACCCATCAGAGGGAGCCACATCTGCTGAACATCTATACACACAGGGAGATTTTGGTAGGTACCAAACCCTGCTGAGACAGCCAAAATGGTGAAACAAAGAAACAAATCCCAAATGAAAGAACAAGAGAATTCTCCAAAAGAAAGGCTAAATGAAATGGAGATTAGCAAGTTATCAGATATAAAGTTCATAGCAATGATTATGAGGATGCTCAACAGCATATAGAAAAGATACAGAAACAATGAAAAAAGAACAATTGGAAATCAAGAATGAAATAGCAAAAATAAAGAACACACTGGAGGAAATAACCAGCTCAGATGAAGATGAGGATTGAATTAGTGAATTAGAAGAACAGAAAAAAATATATATCATTCAATCACAGAACTTAAAAGGAAAAAACAATTAAAAAACAAAACAAAAGGACATTTCTTTCTTTTTTTCTTATCCTCACCCGAGGACATTTTTGCATTTATTTTCAGATAGAGCGGGAGGGAGAGAGGGAGGAAGAGAGAGAGAGAGAGAAACATCAAGTGGTTGCCACCCACACAACCCCAACCAGGTCCAGAAACAAACTGCAACCAAGGTACGTACCCTTAGCAGGAACCGAACCCGGGACTCTGGTCCGCGGGCCAATGCTCTAACTGCTGAGCAAAATCAGCCAGGGCAAAACAGAAGGACATTTTAAGAGAGCTATGGGACAACATGAAATATAACAACATCCACATCACAGAAGTACAAGAAGAAGAAAGTGAGCAAGGGTTAGAGAATCTATTTAAAGAAATAGTGACAGAAAATGTTCCTAACTTGGTGAAGAAAAAAGGCATACAAGTTCAGGAAGCACAGAGAGCTTCAAGCAAGAAGAGCCCAAACAGGCCCACACCAAGACACATCATTATTAAAATGCCAAAATTAAAGACAAAGAAAGAATCTTAAAGGCAGCAAGAGCCCTGGCCGGTTTGGCTCAGCGGTTAGAGCATTGGCCTACAGTCCAGGTACCTTGGTTGCAGTTTGTCCCCAGACCTGGTTGGTTGTGCGGGTGGCAGCCACTTGATGTCTCCCTTTCATGTTGATGTTTCTCTGTCTCTTCACTCTCTCTGTCTCTTCCTCTCTCTCCCACTCTATCTGAACCAAAAAAATAAGGCAGCAAGAAAAAAAGCAACAAGTTACCTACAAAGGGGTTCCCATAAGTCTGTCAACTGATTTCTCAACAGCTGATTACAGGCCAGGAGGGGACAGCATGAAGTATTCAAGGTAATAAAAAACAATCTGGCCCTGGCCGGTTTGGTTCAGCAGTTCAAGCATTGGCCCGTAGACCAAAGAGGTCCAGATTTGGTTCCAGCTAAGGGCACGTACCTTGGTTGCAGTTTGTCCCCAACCCCGGTTGGGGTCGTGTGGGTGGCGACCACTTGATGTGTCTCTCTCACATTGGTTTCTCTCTCTCTCTCTCTCTCTTTTCCTCCCGCTCTATCTGAAGATGAATGCAAAAATGACTTCAAGTGAGTATATAAAAAAACAACAACAGTCTGAATCCAAGACTACTTTATCCAGCAAGGCTATCATTCAAAATAGAAGGTAAACTAAAGAGCTTCCCAGACAAAAAAAAAAAGGCTAAGGGAATATATTAGCACCAAACTAGCATTACAAGAAATATTAAAGGGACTGCTATAAAAAGCAGAAGAGAGACAGAAACATAATAAATAAATAATAATAAGTACATAATAAATAAGTACATATCAATAATAACCTTAAATGTAAATGGATTAAATGCTGCAATCAAAAGAAACAGATAAGCTGAATGACAAAAAAAAAAAGAAAAGAAAGCATGACCCATATATATGTTGTCTATAAGAGACTCACTTTATAACAAAACAAACACAGGTTGAAAGTGAAGGGATGGAAAAAAATTTTCCAAGCAAATGGAAATTTAAAAAAAGCTGGGGTAGCAATATGCCTATCTGATAAAACAGACTTCAAAATGAAGGCCATAACAAGAGAAAAAGAAGGTCACTACATAACATTAAAAGGATCGATCCAACAAGAGGATATAACTTTGGTAAACATATATGCATCCAATATAGGAGCACCAAAATATATTTTAAAACTTCTGGAGGACTTCAAAGGACAAATCAACAGCAATACAATCATAGCAGGGGATTTCGACATCCCACTGACATCACTGAATAGATCCTCTAGACATAAAATTAACAAGGAAACAGAGACCCTAAATTATGCACTAGATCAAATGAATTAAATAGATGGGTACAGAGAGGAAGTTCATAGCATTATAGGCCTACCTCAAGAAACAAGAAAAATTTCCAATAGACTAACCCTAAAACCTAAAGACCTAGAAAATGAACAAAAAGAAAAACCCAGAGCAAGTAGAAGGAAAGAAATACTAAAGTCAGAGTGGAAATAAATGACACAGAGACTAAAAAAATTATAAAATAAAATACAATTCAAAAGAGCAATGAAATCAAGAATTGGTTCTTTGTAAAGATAAACAGGACTGATGAACCTTCAGCCAGACTCACCAAGAAACAAAGAAAGGAGCCAGATAAACAAAATCAGAAACAAAAGAGGAGAGGTAACAACTGACACCACAGAAATACAAAGGATTGTTAGAAAATACTATGAACAATTATATGCCAAAAAAATGGCCAATGTAGGCAAAATGGACCAATTCCTAGAAGTACATAGTCTCCCCAAATTGAACCAGGAAGAGACAGAAAACTTTAACACTTTAAACCAATAACAACTAAGAAAAATGAAGCTGTCATCAATAAACTCACTCTCAACAACCAAAAGCGTGGATCCCGAAGGCTTCACAGGGGAGGTTTACAGAACACCGAAGGAATAACTAACACCTATTCCCCTCAAATTATTTTTTAAAAATTCAAGTGAAAGGAAGACTTCCAAGCTGTTTTGATGAGACCAGCACAATCCTAATTACAAAACCAGATTGGAAAAATTAATATCATTAAAATGTCCACATTATGCAATGCAATCCAAAGATTCAATGCAATTCCTATTAAAGTATGAATGGCATATTTCACAAATCTAGAACAAATACTTCAAAAGATTATATGGAACAAAAAAAGACCACAAATAGCCACAGCAATATTGAAAAAGAACAAAGTTGAAGGGACTATAATACCATATTATCAAGTTATACCAAAAAGCCATCATAATCAAAACAGCCTGGTACTAAGCAGAAGAAGATACATATAGATCAATGGAACAGAACAGAGAACCTAGAAATCGACTAAAGACATTATGTGCAATTAATATTTGACTAAGGAGACAAGAGCATACAATGGAGAAATGACAGTCTGTTCAACAAATGGTGTTGGGAAAATTGGACAGGTATGCAAAAAAAAGAAACGAAAACATATGAAACTAGACCACCAACTTACACCATACACAAGAATTAACTTAAAATGGATAACAGACTTAAACGCAACTTGTGAAACCATAAAAATCCTAGAGGAAAATGTAGGCAATGAAATCTCAGACATGACACGTGGCAGAATTTTCACTGATACATTACCTAGGGCAAGAGGAACAAAGGAATAAATTAATAAATGGGACATCAAACTAAAAAGCTTCTCCACAGCAAAAGAAACCAGCATCAAAATCAAAAGGGAACCCACTCTTGGGGAGAACTTGCCACTGATGCATCAGATAAGGGGTTAATATCCAAAATATACAGAGTACTCATACAACTCCACAAAAGGAAGATAAACAATCCAATTAAAAATGGGCAGAGGGGACTTCCGGTCAAGGTGGTGGTGTAGGTAAATGAGGTATCACGTCCTCCCATAAGCACATCAAAGTTACAACTAAACTACAGAACAACTATCATTCAAAACCGCCTCAAACAAAGCTGAATGGAAGTGTTACAACTACAAAATTAAAGAAATAGCTGCAACGAGACTGACAGGAGGGGCAGAGGCACCACAGGCTGGTCCCACACCCACATGTGGCGGATAAAAATCAGAAGGACACCTTGGCTGAAAGGGTCTTCTCTGAGGACTGAGGGGTCCCTGTCCTACACCAGGCACCCTGCTCAGGGTTCCAGTGCCAGGAAGAGAAGTCCCCATAACTTCTGCCTGGAAAAACCAGCAGGAACTGAGGCTCAGGGAGGCTGAGGAGGCTGGAGCCCCAGGCAGCTCCTCTTAAAGGGCCCGCGCATAGACTTATCGGAATCACTCCCTCTAAGCTTGGAGGGGAGGCAGCTCAAGGGGCGCCAGAGACATACAGGGAAAAACTGAGCTGTTTGGCACTGGAGCGAAGGCTGGAGAGGGGGCTTTCTCCTGGACAAATGTGCTGTCAGAGGCCTTTGTTCCTTTGGGGAGCCCTTCCCTGGGGCGGCAGACAGTCGCCATATCTGGGACTCCAGCACCTGGCTCACACTGGTAGCCCCGCCCTGGTGATTCCCTGAGGGCCCCGCCAAACCCAACTTTCAGGCCCACCCAAGCTGTTGCCAGTTGCTTAACCATAGGATTGGCCTGTCTTGGATTCTGCTTCAGGTTTTCCTAAATTCTTTCAAACGAGCAGCATCTGGTCTCAGCGAGCCCCATACCTCTTCTTAAGTAATACACTGAAACAAACACAGGGAGGCAGCCAAAATGAGGAGACAAAGAAACAGGTCCCAAATGAAAGAACAGAACAAAACCCCAAGAAAAGAACAAAGCGAAATGGAGATAAGCAACCTAACAGATGCTGAGTTAAAAATACTGCTTATAAGGATACTCAATGGCCCTGGCCGGTTTGGCTCAGCGGTTAGAGCATCCGCCTGAGGTCTGGAGAGACCCGGGTTCGGTTCCCGCTAAGGGCATGTACCTCGGTTGCAGTTTGTCCCCGGCCCTGGTTGGTTGTGTGGGTGGCAGCCACTCGATGTGTGCCTTTCACATCGATGTTTCCCTCTCTCTCTCTTCCTCTCTCTCCCTCCCACTCTGTCTGTACAAAAAAATGGAAAAATGTCCTCGAATGAGGATAAAAAAAAAGGATACTCAATGAACTCAGTAAGAACCTCAGTGTACTTAGTGAGGGCCTCAAGAGCATAAAAAAGGACCAGTCAGATATGAAGGAGGCACTAACGGAAATAAAGAATAATTTACACAGATTCAATAATAGAGTAGGTAAAGCCAAGAAGCAAACCATTGATTTGGAATATAAGGAAGCAAAAAACTCCCAATCAGAACAGCAAAAAGAATCCAAAAAAATGAGGATAGTGTAAGGAGCCTCTGGGACAACTTCAAGCGTGCCAACATTCGCATCTTGGGGGTGCCAGAAGGAGAAGAGAGAGAACAAGAAATCGAAAACCTATTTGAAACAATAATGGCAGAAAACTTCCCTAACTTGGTGAAGGAAACAGATATACACGTCCAGGAAGCACAGAGAGTCCCAAACAAGATGAACCCCAAGAGGCCCACACCGAAATACATCATCATCAAAATGCAAAAGGTTCAAGACAAAGAGAGAATCTTTTTTTTGTGTGTGTGGTACGTGCCCCTAGCGGTCTGCAGTCGATGCTCCACCGCTGAACCGAACTGGCTAGCCTCAGAGAGAATCTTAAAAGCAGAAAGAGAAAAGCAGTTAGTTACCTACAAGGGAGTTCCCATTAGGCTGTCAGCTGATTTATCAAAAGAAACTTTGTAGGCCAGAAGGGAGTGGTAAGAAATATTCAGAGTGATGAAAAGCAAGAACCTACAACCAAGATTACTCTATCCTGCAAAGCTGTCATTTAGAATCAATGGCCATATAAAGAGTTTCCCAGACAAGAAAAAGCTAAAGGAGTTCATCACCACCAAACCATTATTATATGAAATGTTCAAGGGTCTTCTTGAAGAAAGAGCTAAAAAATATGAACAAAATGGCAATGAATACATAGCTATCAACAATTGAATTTACAAACACAATGAAGCAGAACAGAAACATTCTCATAGATATAGAGAACATTTTGTTGGTTGCCACATGGGACGGGGGATGAGGGAATGGGTGAAAAAGGTTAAGCGGTTAAGAAGTATAAATTGGTTGTACAGACTGACAAACCTCAAAGAGAAGGGGGGTTGGAGGGTGAAAAGAAATAAACCAAAGACTTTATATGCATATATGCCTAACCAATGGACACAGACAACAGTGTGGGAAAAGGCAGGAGGGGAAGGTGGGAGTGGGGAGGAGGGGGAAAAACGAGGAACATCTGTAATATATTCAACAATAAAGATCAAAAAATAAAAGGACAGAGGACCTGAATAGATACTTCTCCAAACAGGACATACAAATGGCCAAGAGACATATGAAAAAATGCTCAATGTCACTAATCATCAGAGAGATGCAAATTAAATGACTACGAGATATCACCTTGCACCTGCCAGAATGGCTGCCATCAACAAATCATCAAACAAGTCCTTCCAATGATGTGGAGAAAAGGAGACTGTAGTACACAGCTGGTGGGATGCAGACTGGTGCTGTCACTATGGAAAACAGTATGGTGCTCCCTCAAAATATTAAAAGTGATCCCACTTCTAGGAATATACCCTAAGATGCCTGAAACACCAATCAAAAAGAATATATGCACCCCCATGTTCAAAGTAGCTCTATTTACAATAGCTAAGATCTGGAAACAGCCCAATTGTCCATCAGGAGATGAGTGAATAAAAAATCTGTGGTACATTTATACAATGAATACTATGCACCTGTAAGAAAGAAAGATCTCTTACACTTTGAGAAGACATGGAGAGACCTGGAGAGTAATATGCTGAATGAAATAAGCCAGTCAGAGAAAGACAAGTACCACATGATAATACTTATTTATGGAATATCACGAACAAAATAGGCTGTCTATTAAAATAGATCAGAGACATGGAAGTCGGGAAGACACTGACAAACTTCAGAGGGAAGAGGGTGGAGGGGTTAGAAAGATATAAACCAAAAAACTTATTTGCATATGTGCAAAGCATACTGGGGAAAGCAGGAGGGGGTGGGAGCCGGGAGGAGGGGGTCACTAGGGGAACAGAGGGGGCCATCTGTAATACATTCAACAATAAAGACTTGAAAAAATTTTTAAATAAATAAAAACTGGACACCATAATAATCCCTAAAAAAAGAAAAAGAAGCTGGACTACTCTATCGCATACAAAAATAAACTCAAAATGAATTAAAGACTTAAATATAAGACTGAAACCGTAAAACTCCTAGAAGAAAACGTAGGTAGTAAATTCTTTATTAGTCGTAGCAATATTTTTTTGTATATGTCTCCTCAGGCAAGGGCCAAACAAGCAAAAATAATCAAATGGGACTACATCAAACCAAAAAGCTTTTATACAGCAAGGGAAACCATAAAAAAAACAAAAAAGGCAACCTACTGAATGGGAGAAGATATAGCTAACAAGGAAGTTCCGTCCATTATATATAAAGAACTTCTATAACCTAGTAATTAAAAAGACCCAATAAAAATGGACAACAAGACTTAAAACAGTCACTTCACAAACAGCCAGTATTTGAAAAAGTGCTCAACTACATCTGTTGCCAGAGAAATGCAAAATAAAACCACAAAAATATTACACACCCACTAGGTTGACTAAAATAAGAAAGACTGACACCCAAAAATGGGGCAATCCGAAAGTATCATACATTGCTGATGGTGGTGTAAAACTGTAGAACCATTCTGGAAAATTATAAAGTAAAACATACGTATTCCCAGCTATTCCACTGTCAGAATTATACAAAAGAAATAAAAACATATATCTAACAAAGGGCTCATTACCAAAATGTTGCTATCAGTTTTATTCATAGTAGCCAACAACTAGAATAGTTCAGGTTTTCATCAAAAGGAAATGGATAACAAAATGGTATGTTCATACAATGAAGTAGTATCCAGCAATAAAAAGAAGCTAATGCCCAGCCAGTGTGGCTCAGTGGTAGAGCGTTGACCCATGCACCAAGAAGCCACCAATTCAGTTTCCAGTCAGGGCACCATGTGGGCCTGATCCCCAGTGGGGGGCACGGAAGCGGCGGCCAACAGATGTTCTCTCTCATTGATGTTTCTATCTCCCTCTCCCTCTCTCTTTCTTTCTAAAAAATCAATAAAGGAAAAAAAATTGTTTTTAAAAGAGAAAGAAACTACAGCTTACACAAAAACCTGAATAAATCTCTAAAACCACTATGCTGAGTTAAAGACAGACACAGAAGAGTACATACTTAATTCCATTTGTAAGACGTTTTGGAAAAGGCAAAAGTAATCAATGACAATAGAAAGCAGAACAGTGGTTGCTTTAGGTATTGTTAGAGTAGACTGCTTAGAAAAGGTTATAAGAAAATATTCTAAAGTGATAGAAATGTTCCATAACCTGACAGAAGTGTGGTCATTGGCTGTGCACGGCAGTCAAAACTGACTGAACCATTAAGAGCAGACCATGTTAAAGAATAAAAGAGGATAAGTATACTGGCCAAAGTCAGAATAAACTAGGGCTTGCCAATCATCCATAATTTAACATGTAGAGCCTTTACAATAATTAGTCAACAAATATTCTAGTTACTTAAAAATACTCTATTTTCACTTACATTATAGTAAGCTTCATAGCCTTATGTAAAGTTAAACCAGATGGTGTGCCACAGTCACTTGACCTGGGCATGTAACGGACACAAACTTCCTGCGTGTGGCATGGAGTACAGTAATTGATGCATTTTCTGGACACATATATACAAAGATTTTTATTTACTAGGATTCTGACAGATCAGTATGAGAAGGAGGACAAATTTTGACCAAAGCCATCTTCAACAGAAAAGCTAGTGGGAAGAGAAGACATTTTTTACCTGTGAAATGGAGCCTCCCAGTATAAAAGATGGTTTTTCTGAAGAGACTGTGGTTTTGGATGATGGGATGAGAGGAGGAGGTGGCCTAGTGGGTCGAGTTGTTGGAAGCCGAACCCCTTCAGGGAGATTAGTTATCACTTGATGTGGAGCAGGCTGGAGGACTTTTAAAAGGAAGAAAAAATGATTTAAAATAGTCAATTTCCTAGTCTGCAACATTTTCTCTATCTCAGCCATCCCTAAATTTTTTAACCAAATATTAAATTAAAAGTGCAAGATGAAGCCAAGGATGAATATTTCCTTTTTAAATTTCCCTGTCACTTGAAAAGGTTATGCATACCTATTCAGGTCACTAATGGTATTTGTGCGGTTGAAATATTCAACTCCCTGTCAAACCAGACCTTTCAAGTTAATGTTCATTTCAAACTATCTGTGCTTAGCATACAAAAATGCAATCTTGCCCTGGCCAGTTTGGCTCAGCGATTAGAGCATTGGCCTGCGGACCAGAAAGTCCCGGGTTCAGTTCCCACTAAGGACACATACCTTGGTTGCAGTTTGTTCCCAGCCCCACTTGGGGTTGTGTGAGTGGTGACCAGTAGATGTGTCTCTCTCACATCGATGTTTCTCTCTCTTTCTCCCCCCCCCCCTTTCCCTCCCGCTCTATCTGAAGGTAAATGCAAAAAAAGTCCTCGGATGAGGACAAAAATGCAATCTTTAATAATTTTTTCTCTCTCCATCACTCTTTGGACCTCACAATGAAGGTAAGATAAAAGGGTGCTTCTTAGGAATAGTTAATATTACAAATTTAGAGAATATAATGACATGCTTGACAAGCAATTATATGTCCTTTTTGCATCTCACATAATTTGAGAAACATTTACTGATTTCAGTTCTCAGACTTGAGTTTCTGCGATAAGTAGGAGAGAATAGAGATTTTAAGATTTTTAAAAAGTACATACACTCTTAAGATAAAAGCCAATCAATGTCACAGTATACATGTGTCAACATAAATTTCCCAGTGGATATCAATGGAATATAACTAATGATAGAATGCAGAGAAACAAGAAAGTAATTTTGAAAAAGGAAGGACATGCTCTCGTGGAGCACTTCATTCACAAGATTAAACCACCCATGTCTAACATCTGTAGGTAGATGGCCAGCAGCCACTGCAAAGAGGAACGATATTTACCTGGCGGGACACTATAGCAGGCTGTACTCATATCAGGCTGTGGAGCGGCTTTACTGAACTCTCTTGGAGAGAGCCTACACGGTGATGCTGACCTTGCTGCAGTATTGTACATCTGTGCTTCCTGTTCTAGAGCACGTTTGACCTCAGCATAAGGCATATAGGCGACTGATTTTCCTATGAAAGTTAAAGTTATCAAAATAAGGGAAGAACCCCAAATTAAAATAGTAAGTGTGAAAGGACCAAGCCCACACCATCCAGGGGCAGATCCAACTCTATACTAATATCAAGGCCTAAAATTCTTCCACAGAGAGGTGAAGAAACCCTATACATCTAAATCTTCTGTGTACACACCACCACCTATTAGAATCCTCAAAAATTCAATTATAATTTTTCCCTTTAAAAGGAAAAAAAAAACACCTTCTCTAATTAGAAAATCAAGAGTTTTCACATGCAATAAAGACCACAAAAGGCAAATTATCTTGTCATTCTGTAAATTCAAGTCTGGCCTGAACTAAAGGTCAGATGTCTGAGAATTCCAAATGTTACAATTAGCCTGCTGAAGCCCACTGCTTAATATGCAGAGCAATAAATGTAATAAAAAATGAAAGAAGCCTTTCAAAAATTACAGATCAAACTAATCCAAAAAACTTATAGATGCTTATAGAACTATGAATTTTACTGCAATAATGTTAATGAAAATTACTCCACATAATTTATTTCTACATAAAGTATAAAAATACTTTAAGGCCTGGCCGGTGTGGCTCAGTGGTTGAGTGTCGACCTGTGCATCAAGAGGTCACTGGTTCATTTCCCAGTCAGGGCAAATGCCCAGGTTGTGGGCCTGATCCCCAGTGGCATGCAGGAGGTGGCTGATCAATGCTCTCTCTCTCCTCCTCTCTTCCTCTCTCTCTCTAATCAATAAAGGAAAAAAATTAAAAAAAAAAAAACAACTTTAAGTATTTTAAGGATAACCCTATCTGGGTAGTTCAGTTGGTTATAGCGTTGTTCTGATACAACAAGGTTGTAGGTTCGATCCTGGTCAGGGCACAAATCTCAGCCAGTGAATACATAAATAAGTGGAACAACAAATCAATGTTTCTCTTTCTCTTTTACTCTCTCCCTCACTTCCCTCTCTTCCTCTGTCTCTAAAAAACTAAAAATAAATTAAAAATTTTTTTAAATGTCAGTTAAAAAAAAAAGGACATGTCAGATATGCAAGTCATATTAAGACTTAAAAAATATATATATGCCCTGGCTGGTTTGGCTCAGCAGTTAGAGCATCAGCCTGTGGTCCAGAGAGACCCAGGTTCGGTTCCCGCTAAGGGCACGTACCTTGGTTGCAGTTTGTCCCCGGCCCTAGTTGGTCATGCAGGTGGCAGCCACTCGATGTGTCCCTTTCACATCGATGTTTCTCTCTCTCTCTTCCTCTTTCTCCCTCCCACTCTACCTGAACAAAAACTGGAAAAATGTCCTCCGGTGAGGATTAAAAAAAATACACACACACACACACACACACACACACACACAATTATTTTCTTTTTTTAAAAAAATGAAATTGACACATTATAATTTTGGAAAATCTAAAAAGCACAAAAAAAGTGAAATCACTCATAACCCAAACCACTTAGATTTGTGGCATTTTAATGTCTGCCACAACAAATTCCTATTCATTTTCTTATTCTTTTGCTTACCTATTCTTATCCATTTATTCTTCTAAATAAATCTAAATTGAAAATCGCTCTGAGTAGTTTCTCCCCAGAGTATCACTAGAATTTTCACTGGACTTGCATTAAAGTTATGAATACAGAAGACCTGACATTTTACAATGAGTTTTCAAATTAAGAAACCTATATACTTTCATATAGATCATATACATTTCTTTATTTTATTTATTTATTTTTTTATCCTCACCCGAGGACATTTTCCCTTTTTTTGTTCAGGTAGAGTAGGAGGGAGAGAGAGGAACAGAGAGAGAGAGAGGAACATCGATGTGAAAGGAACACATCGAGTGGCTGCCACCCGCACAACCGACCAGGGCCGGGGACAAACTGCAACCAAGGTACGCGCCCTTAGCGGGAACCGCACCCGGGTCTCTCAGGACCGCAGGCCGACGCTCTAACCGCTGAGCCAAACCGGCCAGGGCTACATTTCTTTATTTTTATTTAATTAATTTATTTTTGTTACAGATGTTTCTCCTTTTCCCCCCATTGATACCCTCATCCCATTCCCGCCTCCCCAACCCCAGCATTGTTGTCTCTGTTCATTGGTTATGCTTATATGCATAAGTTCTTTGGTTTATCTCTTCCCTCTTCCTTGCCCCCTCCTCTGAAGTTTGTCAGTCTGAACCCTACTTCTATGTTTCTGGGTCTATTTTGTTCATCACCTTATTTTGTTCATTATATTCCACAAATAAGTGAGATCTTATACATTCTTTGCTAAAAATTACTTATAGGTATTTTATATTTTGTTGCTAAGAAAACCATCTCCTTTACATATGAGTTTATACATATATATATATAAACTCATCATCGCAGATACACAAGAAAGATATGGATTTCTCTATATTAAGTTTTTCTTAGTAACTTAATGAACTTTCCTTTAGCTCTAATAACTTTTCAGTTGATTCCTATAGGCTTTCTAGGTAGATAATAATTTGTCTTCTCCTTTCAAATAGCTGAACCTCTTCTTTGATTCCTTTTTTTCCTTACTGGTGAGCATTCTGATAGTTCACCTCTAAAGGGAAGGCTCTAGCATTTCACTATTAAGTGGAAGTTTTGTTATTGGTTTCAAATAGAGATTCATTAGCAAAATGCATAAGAAGTTCTTTGGTTTACTAAGATATTTTTAAAAGCCAGAAACAATTATAGTAATATTAGCTAATATTCATTATGTACCAGGTGAAAAGCACCATGCGTTTTAAATGAATTATCTCATTTAGCCCTCATGACCAATGAGATTATTAACACCATTTTACAGGTGAGGAAACTGAGGCTCAAAGAATCACACCTAATTGCCCAACCAAGGTTATACTACCAGGAATTTTTCAAAAGCAATAAAATTCCTGACCCTGACCTTCAAAGCACAGTGTACTAATACCTCCCTGAAGTACTGTGTGCTAAATTTCAGATGCCTATATGGCATCCATCAAGATAATGGTACTCTTCCTTCTTTGACATAGTAACATAATAGATTAGTTAAGTATTCTAACACCATGAAGATTTCTGAAATAAACCAACTTCAAAAGAAAATCACTTCTTCCTTTCTGGAGAATTTAACATGATAGTGCATGATAAATTCAGTGTCTGACTGTTTTGCCATGTCCAGTATGTTTATCATTATATAGAAAAATCCACTTTATCATAGTAATTGTTAAAGAGAAAGAAAAAATTGAAACAATTTAAATCATTATGTATTCAGAGCTGAAAAAATAAAGAAATAACAGAAAAATAAACTACACTGAGTTGCATAAAAGTACTAACTCTTATTTCAATTACATTTTGTTAACCAGCATTAGAAGTTCAATTCTAACTCTTGTCTCTACATATGTGATTTTGAGTTCCTTCACTGCAGGAAAAAAGTTTCAAACTAAAGCAAGGGTCAACTTGTGTAAATGTTACTGGAAAGTGAAAACAATTGTTCCCCAAGATATTTTTTCAAGCTTTCTATAGATAGAAAGGCTCTATGCCACTTAAAATTGGCAAATTTAAAATAATTATTTGTACCATTGACATTAAGAAAAAATGAATACAAACAGTTAGACAACAGGTGCTGCCTGTTACTTTCTAAATGAGATCATGAAGGAAAAAAATAAAAACCATGATCCTAATTCAGGTGGACTATACCAGCAGGATTTATATAACCAATGATGGTTTATATGTAAATCCACATTCTCACTATATTTACCATTCTGTAAACTACTCTATGATGTTGCATTAAAAATATTTGTGTCAAACATTCTACACACATGCAATTTAACAAAAAATATATAAATGTTATTTGGAAGATTATCCTTTACAGTGAACTACAGAATAGCTATAAATTCAGGAGAGACTTTAGGCACTTGTTAACTACTGGATGAACATATTAAGTAGATCAGTTAAAACACAACCTTGGGATAAAATGTAATCAACTGTCCCAGTTTGTAGAGTGCGATGTCACCTTGAAGCAAATAGGTGTCATATTAATAAAAAATATAAATAGTTTGGCTTTAAGACCACTGCATTATGATTAAAAATTAGGATATCATTAAAATCGAACCCCCATGGATTAATATTACTGATCACTGAAAAATGCAATTCAGTTTGGAATCTCAGAATTTGGGGCTCTAAACTGGTTCAGTCTTTACAGTTGCCAATACAACCCATTTTGTAAGGTAGATCAAGAAAAATTATTGAGGTCCTAAAATAACTATATGATACACATATTAGAATGATTCAGATATCATTATCTGTATAATGTTAAAACTTTAGCATGAGTTCAGCAAATACCATTTGAGTGTCATTTTTTTCTAGGTTTTAATTCTTCCTCACAGAATTTATCCTAAATTATCGATGTAAGAAATAGATTAACAAACTTTTAAATTATTTTGTAATTTATCATTCTTATAATGATAGATTTTCTCATAACCAGTTATACTCTATGACTCATTTAATTCATTCCTTCAATGTAATCACTGATTACACATTATGTCAATTATTGAAATAAGGTTTAAGGATTCTCTAGATGCAATATAGTAAAAATCCAAAAGTCATCAATGTTTTTACCTTCATTCAAGAAATACTCATTTAGCATCGTTTTTTTTTGTACGTGCCCCTAGCGGGAACCAAACCCGGGATTCTCTGGTGTGCAGGCCAATGCTCCAAAACAGCCAGGGCTCATTTAGCATCTATTATATGCCCAGTCTTGGTGTGTATTATCATTCTGATCCACATTTTTACTAGCATAAGCTTTACATTTAAACACTAACAACCTTCTATTTAAAAGTCTAGTATAAGAGATTTAATGTGCCATGTAACTAATAACACATTATTAGTGTGACAGAGGTGGAACGTCAACAGGATCAGTTAAGTACCACAGTTCCTGTTTTACATTACATAGCTCTTGAAATGCATGGCATTCTATAGCTAATAGCTCTTATCTATAATAGGTACTTGCAAAGAGTCTTCTGAATCACTGCAAAAAAACTGAACCATAATTACAGAAGACTTTAACATCGTAGTTTATAGCCCATAGATAAACTGTCAATTGAAACATATGTGCCATCTAATAACCATGCCAGAGCTTATTAAAATTTAGAAATCACTCCCTTTCTTCTTCTTTTAAAAGATACAAGTGTATCATGTACCAACTGAAAAAAAAGCATGCACAACCCAAATTCTGTCACTTGAAATAATAACAGTACCTTCATGGTATCTATTTATACTATGCATATACTAACATACTAATTAGCATGCAGTATTACACATTATATTATATATAAATTAAGGCTCAGCCATGTGTTATAAAACAATACTGAATGTTCATGCTTCTTACGGCTTATAATTTCAACAAGGAAAGTAGATACATAATTTGTACTTTACAAAGAAGAAAACTAAAACTCAAAAGGTTAAGTGACTTGGCCATGGTCACACAACTGGTAAATGTTGTGGTAAGGGTTAAGTCAGGGTCTGACTCGCTCTATGTACTACACAAAGTTGTCTCCCATCACACCAGAATTTTAGAATATTACCCTGTCACCATGATTTGCTTGGAGGATGTAACAATTCATACTTTGAAAACTCAAGCAAAGAGCACAAAGCATGGCTTTTATACAGTCTTCCAGCATAAAAATAAGTATCAGAAAATTCAGTAATACTAACATTACTTAATAATTTAACTGAAGTCAAGTCATCTGTTTGGAAAAAGTATAATAATCAATTAATACACTGATAAATTACAAAGCACAAAGGACACTGCCTTTGAATATGGCTTTGTTTCCTTTTAGGCAAGTTCTTTGTGATGATAGTTCTACCTACCATCCCATTCTCTCTTTGGACTCTTGGAAGTGCCACATGGACTTGTAGAACTTCTACATTCCAAATCTATCTGTTCTTGCCTCTGCCTCTGCTCTTCCAGGAGTGCTGACTCATGCACTGCTTTAATGTGTCGCTGGAAGAGGGCATAGCCGCTCACTGGGGTTCCAATTGGTATATTACATGGGGTGCAGGACACCTACAGGAAGAAAAACAAAATTAAGTATGCCATGACCAACACAATAATAATTACCATCTGTTTCAAGTAATGCTTATTTCTGTAATATTACCGGTTGAGGTGATTTAACCATTTGTTAATCAAAGAAATCTTCAAGTATAATGCTTAAAATGTTCAACAGTTACTTTCAGAACTGAACACAATGTAAATCACAAAAGTTGTAATAAGAAAAATCAAAATTAGAAATTAAAATACTTGTCTGCTTCTAACTTAGGATGGTCAAATCCCTGGGGGCTCAGCCCTGTGTCCTTACGCCTCCTCCCTATGTCCTCATTACTGTATACTGTAGTGTATAGACAGAGCACCAGGAAGTCTCCGCAACTGGCCAAGATGGCAGTAGAAGGAGGTTCTTATACTAAGCAGCCAAAAGCTAGAAATATGAATGGACAAGGCCTGAGTGCATCAATAACCAGAAACATAAATGGATAGGACCCTGAGCACGCCAAAAGCTAGGAAGATAACTGGATAGAGAAAGAAAAAAAAAAAAAAAAGCCTTCCATTCTCTATCCCTATAAGAATGGTGGGGTTGAACAGAAGAGAGATAGTCTTTGAGACGGGAGGCCATTTTTCTCCCAGGTCCGGTGGCACCTGAATAAAACCTCTTTCCTTTTTTTAAAATCCTCACCTGAGGATATGTTTTTTATTGATTTTTAGAGGGAGAATGGTCTGAGGTAGAAGAGGCTCATGCCTCCATCAAGACAATCCCAGTGGAACCCCCAACCCACCCAGGACAATTCTCTTGACAAAGATCAACTGGGACCCAAACACTGGGGACCTGGATTCCCTAGAACATTACAAAAGACAAAAAATGGAAGGTTTAAGAAAGAGGTGCCTAAACAAAAGAGCCTGAATATGATAAGTGCTGTTCAACAGAAACCAAGTAAAAATCCTTTTGAATTTTTAGAAAGGATCTGTCAGGCCTATCAAAAGCACACTGATGCTGACCCACAGGCACCAGAAGATATCCAGATGGTGAACATGACTTACTGGGCAAAGTGACTCAGATATCGAAAGGAAGCTACAATGTTTAGATGGGGAGTTAGGAATGAATTCCTCCCAAATGGTGGACATAGCCTTCAAAGTTATCATGCCCAGGAAACAAGGAAACTAAAGCAGACCGCTGTTTCTTAGAGACACTCGGGAAACCAGAAGCAGGGGCGAAACATGAAAGGGAAAGGAAAAGACTCACTAGAGGCCGGCCTATCAATGTACTTACTGCAAAGAGGAAGGCCATTGGAGAAAGACCTACCTGGAACTCAAAAAGAAAAATATAAAGGATAGAAACCCTTACCAAGAAATGTTAGAAAGGAATGACAAATCTGGAGGCCCAGGGACTCCCCTGGACACCTCCCCACCTATTACTATTTCCCCACAGGAGCCCCAGCTATAACTGACAGTAGGGAACAAGCTAATTGACTTTCTTGTAGATGAAGGAGCTACATACTACTCAGTGCTAAACAAGATAACTGGACAGAAATAAAAGCCCTCCCTCCCTATTCCTGTAAGAATTGTGCTTGAGTAGAAAAGAGATGGTCTTTGAGATGGGAGCCCACCGTTCTCCCAGGTTGCACGGCACCTGAACAAAACCTCTTTCCTTTTACACCAGCACTTGCCTCACAAATTTTGCTTTCAAGGCAAATTTCAAGGCAGCTGAACCTGTGCTTTTTTGGTTACACTCTCACCAGGTAATCATATTCAATTCTGTGAGTTCATTTATATGTTAATGACTCATAAATTTTTATTTCTAAGACATTTAGCTCCAAAGTCCAAACTTATAAAAATTGCCTAACAACTCCACTTGGATATCTCAAGCACCTCAAAGCTTATATTCAAAATTGAACTTTTCATTTTCTAAATGCAATGCTTCTCCTTCAACAATTTCGATTTTAGAAAATGGAACCTCAGCAGCTGAAGCCAGACACTGGCAGTCATCCTTGATTAATCAATCTCTTCAACTCCCATAACTAATTCATTAACTTATCAATTCTCCTCCAGTCAGATATTAAATCTTACTTCTTTAGCTAGGTCATCCCTAACCATTCAATAACATTTGGGGTGGGGCAAAAGTAGGAAGTACACAAAACACAGTTTATGATTGTATTATTGTTTATAACTTATTTATTATTCTCCATAGGAACAACTGTAAACCTACTTTTGCCCCACCCCATATTGTAACTCCTTCCCTATTTTCCTTCTCATTGTAGCCAGTTCCTTTTTTTTCACAGTACATAGCACTTATGACAATTTAAAACTATATGTTTGTTCTCTGTTTATTCTGTCTCTCCACTTCATGAAGGAAAGGCCCAAGCTGCTATGTCCAATACTAAATAAACAGTCCCTAACACAGTCCATTATTTCATGAATGCAAAATAATCCTGGGGGAAGTAGAGATCTGACCTTTTTTAGAACCCATTATCTAAATTCTTCTACAATGTTTTCTGTTACTATAAATAAAATGTTTCACTGAATGTGAACGCACAGATAATTTTCTTGCTTTTGTGCTTTGGCTTATATGTAAACATGACCTTTCATGTTTTGCTATAAAAAAACCAAATGAGCCCGGCTGGTGTGGCTCAGTGGTTGAGCGTTGACCCATGCACAAAGAGGTCGCCAGTTCAATTCCTAGTCAGGGCACATGCCCAGGTTGTGGACCAAATGCCCAGTGGGGGAAGTGGGGGCATGCAGGAGGCGGCCAGTCGATGTTTTCTCTCATAGATATTTCTCTCTCTCTCTCTCAAATCAATAAAGAAAAAAAAAAACAAAAACCAAAAACAAAACAATCAAATAAACTGTTCTGATCTAACCAAATTATTATTTCCTAAATGGACTCTTCTTTACATGTCTCATTAAGAAGGACGCTTTCGCCCTGGCTGGTTTGGTGTAGTGGTCAAGAGTGTTGGCCTGAGGTCCAGAGAGACCCGGGTTTAGTTCCCACTAAGGGCATGTACCGTGGTTGCAGTTTGTCCCTGGCCCTGGTTGGGTCGTGCGGGTGGCAACCACTTGATGTGTCCCTTTCATGTCGATGTTTCTCTCTCTCTCTCCCTCCCTCTCCCACTCTATCTGAACAAAAAACAAAAAAATGTCCTCGGGTGAGGATAAAAAAAGAAAAAAGAAGGATGCTCTCATTTTAATTTTTATTATTAGTTTTTTTATGTCTTATTATCAATACCAATCTCTAAGCTTTTTGAAGTCAAAGATCATAATATGTATACATTCCATACAGCATTAAAAATGTTATCTTGGCCTTGGTCAGTTTGGCTCAGCGGTTAGAGCATTGGCTGGCGGACCAGAGAGTCCCTGGTTCGGTTCCGCTGAGGGCACCTGCCTCAGTTGCAGTTTGTCCCTGCCCCAGTTGGGGTCGTGTGGGTGGCAGCCAATTGATGTGTCTCTCTTACATAAATGTTTCTCTCTCTTTGTTCCTGCCTCTCTCCCTCCCGCTCTATCTGAAGATAAATGCAAAAATGTCCTCCTGTGAGGATTAGAAAAAAAATGTTACCTTGTACTGGGCAGACAGTCAATAAATATCCATTTGAATAAACTGATGAATAAACAAATGTTTAATGATTTTTGTGTGTGTGAGTATATCATAAGCACACACTTAACTTTTCTCAATTATCACGTGAGACAGTAAACAAATTTTTATCCTCTAAAGATAAAATATAACTAAGTAAAAGAACAATACCCAAGATTGGAATTCATTATCAAAGGAAATCAAACTTTTACAGATTAAGGTCAAATGTAAATAAAACTAGATTTGGAATTATATACTAAAGTTAGTGATAAACTCTATACTTCATTCTAAATATTCAAACCTAGTTACCTATTTATTCTACTACTGTCTTATAGCAAAACAAACAAAAGCATAAGTTACTAAAATGTATGGCTAGAGCATTACATTTCTTTCATTTTTTTTTCTTAAAAATTCATCACAATGAATCCAATATGTATTCCAACAGATAAATAAACAAAATGGAATATTACTGGTCTTAAAAGGAAAATTCAGACACATGTTGCAACATGGATAACCTTGAGGATATTATGCTGAGTGAAATAAACCAGTCATAAAAAGACAAATACTGTATATTCCACTTAAATGAGGTATCTAAAGTAGCCAAAATCATAAAACAGAAAGTAGAATGGTGGTTACCAGAGGCTGGGAGAGGTGGATAACGGAAGCTACAGTTAAAAGGGAATAGAATTTCAGCTTTACAACATGAAAAAATTCTGGAGGTCTGCTTCACAACAATATGAATATACTTAACACTATGGAACTGCACAATTAAAAATAGTTGAGCCTGGCCGGTTTTCTCAGTGGTTAGAGCATCAGCCCATGGACCAAAGAGTCTCGGTTCAACTCCAGTCAAGGGAGCACACCTCAGTTACAGTTCGGTCCCCTGCCCAGGTTGGGGTCATGCGGGAGGCAGCCAGTCGATGTGTCTCTCTCACATCGATGTTTCTCTCTCTCTCCCCCATACCCACTCTATCTAAAGATAAATAGAAAAGTATCCTCAGGTGAAGATTAAAAAAAAAAATTAAGGTGAGCCCCGGCCAGTTTGGCTCAGAGGTTAGAGCGTCGGCCTGCGGTCCAGAGTGACCTGGGTTCGGTTCCCACTAAGGGCGCGTACCTCGGTTGCAGTTTGTCCCCGGCCCTGGTTGGTCGTGCGGATGGCAGCCACTCGATGTGTCCCTTTCACGTCGATGTTTCTATCTCTCTTCCTCTCTCTCCCCCCCACTCTATCTGAACAAAAAAATGGAAAAATGTCCTCGGGTGAGGATAAAAAAAAAAAATCGAGGTGATAAATTTTATGTTATGTGTTTTTTTTTTGTTTGTTTGTTTTTTTATCCTCACCCGAGGACATTTTTCGATTTTTTTGTTCAGATAGAGTGGGAGGGAGAGACAGGGAGAGAGAGAGAGAGAGAGAGAGAGAGAGAGAGAGAGAGAGAAACACATCAATGTGAAAGGGACACACTGAGTGGCTGCCACCCGCACGACCCAACCAGGGCCGGGACAAACTACAACTGAGGTACATGCCCTTAACAGGAACGGAACCTGGGTCTCTCTGGACCGCAGGCCGACACTCTAACCTCTGAGCAAAACTGGCCAGGGCTATGTTATGTGTTTTTTACCACAAATTTTTTTTAAATCCTCATTCAAGGATATGGGTTTTTTTGTTTTGTTTTGTTGTTTTTACGAGAGAAAGGAAGGGGGAGGGTGAAAGAGAGAGAGAAAGCATCCATGTGAGACAGAAACATTGATCAGTTGCCTTCCTTACACCAAGTTGCCCTGCCAAGGTTTTTACCACAGACTTTCAAAAAATCAAGTACTGATTAAAGAAGAGAAAAAAATATCTCTAAAGGTCTGAATTTTTCAACTTTACTTTTCTTACTCATATTGAAAACTTACCATTGGTGGGATAACAGCAGCTCGATGCTGAAGCTGTGGCAGGTCCAGTGGATTTGGTTTCATTGGGGATGAGACCAGTATAGATCCAGGGGGGTTTAACATTGAAGGCTTTGAGTCCATAGGAAACATTCTGCAATTGGTAATCATAAAAAGATAAGTTAACATATTCTTAAGACTTTAAATATAGGGTGGAGCAAAAGTAGGTTTACAGTTGTATGTAAAACAAAGTTTATTCTTGTATTTTACTTATTAATTACTGTATTTTCTATACAAACTGTAAACTTACTTTGTCCCACACTGTATACAACTGCCATAATTACTTCTAAACCAATATGTATGTACACACACATATCACATTAACTTTACAAGAATTTGAACGGTAAGAAAGAGGGACTCTATAATGCTAATGTTCCCGGTAAAGAAACCTAATATTGATTTATAGGTTGAAATTTATCTGAATTTAATCATCTGCATCTAACCAACAAAACATGCCATAAAATGCCATAAAATGTTAGGTACTAATTTACCACTAATATAGGTTACAAACTAGCTACCTGTTACAAAATCGTTTGCTAGGATCACAGAGTATTTTTTGCAACATTTAAATAAACCACTGTCATTTTAAAATTGAGAATTCTACCCAGAATTCCAGACTTCTGATTTCTAATGAAAAATGAAAAAAAGTGGCAAAGTGAAACCAGCATTCCCACACAGCAACAACATGCTGAACTTGTTTCAGACACATGCTCCTGTTCAGCACAGTATCTGCCATCTTTTACTCCACTGGCTGCACCCGTTTTCAGCACCTATACTTGAATTTACAGCACCCAATATGGGAACAGGGAAAAGTATACAACAGTGCCATACCTTATGGGTTTGATTATATTTCCCAATGTTGTCAGTTATTGGGGGGAGGAAACATTTTAAAAGGTATAAATGGGGCCCTGGCCAGTTTGGCTCAGCGGTTAGAGCGTCGGCCTGCGGTCCGGAGAGACCCGGGTTCGGTTCCCGCTAAGGGCACGTACTTCGGTTGCAGTTTGTCCCCGGCCCTGGTTGGTCGTGCGGGTGGCAGCCACTCGATGTGTCCCTTCACGTCGATGTTTCTCACTCTCTCTCCCTCCCACTCTATCTGTACAAAAAATGGAAAAATATTCTCGGGTGAGGATAAAAAAAAAAAAAAAAAAAAAAAAAAAAAAAATAAAAGGTATAAATGGGTAAGAAAATTAGAATGTATAAAAGAAAATTTCTATTTTACATAAGAATAAAGATATTAAAGATGCAGGAAATTGAAAAGTGTTATTTCGATAGTTTGAAAGTGATGTAGACTTTAGAAATGTCATTCAGAGGCCACTATATATTTCTAAGGAATTTCTGAATTTCTAGACTACCATCTTATGATGTTCCTCCATTTTGGTTAAATGCCATCCTAATTTTTCCTTCATATATAAATATAGTTACCAAAGCCAACATGGAAAATCTTTATTTTAGATATTTCATTAAAGAATACCTAAAAAAGGACTAAACAGCTTATATTCATTTATGTTAACAACAGTCAAATTTTGGGACAATTAAAATCTATATTGTTATGACATAAGGGGAAAGACAGCTAGATGAATTTTCTCGGGAAAAAAACAGAAAAACACAAAACAATGGTTAAGACAGACCCCTTATTTTATTTTAATTCCTGTTGATTAAAATTGTAGTATTTACTATATAGAAATCTCTTTGGAGAAACCATACCATACTGCTTGATATTACTCTAGTATCACATCTCATTCTAGAGTAAATAAGATATAACATATACTAGATATGGACTGAAAGCACAGCGACACCAGGCAGGACACATTATGAACAGAATTTGGCTATCTATTGAGTGCCTTATTTGCCTTTTTCTAAAAAAGAGAAAAAATACAGGGTTAAATTGGGTTTCTCATTAAATGAGGTTTTAGTCTAATTCATTTCTAGAATTTGTATCAATCTAACCTACTGTGATTCTAGATGACACCATTTCTTTCAAGGAAAAGCAAACACCAGGAAATAAAATATATTATATAAAGTAGTATCTATCTCTGTAAAATATAAAAACCATAAAGATATATTTTTGTTAATTTAATGACTAAAACTACTTATAAATTTATATTATACCTGATATTTTAAATGACAAATTAGTCATCTAAAATTTTAGGTGATAAAAATAATGACAATTATAATTACCATTAACTTATACATAAATTATGCTTTCTAAAATACTTTCAGAACATTCAATATGTTTCTTTTCTCAGTATTTTTTTTTTAATTCTTTGATTTTTGAGAGGAAGGGGGAGAGAGAGGGAGAAAGAGAGAAACATCAATGTGAGAGAGAAGCATCTATGGACTGCCCTCCACATGCACCCCGCCCGGGCCTGAGCCCAAAATCTGGGCATGTGCCCTGACAGGGCATCAAACCCACCACTTTTTGGTGTTCTGGACAATGCTCCAACCAACTGTGCCACACACTGGCCAGGGTTCAGTATTTTCTTACATCTAATACTCAGGATATAGTAGACCTTGCTCTGAAGCCATAGGGTCTTAGAGAAAACAAAGTTGCAGCTAATGCCTCTTGCCTCCACCTTCATCACCAGGTCATACTACTTCTATCACCAGGAACAGCAGTCATCTCTGGTTTAGTTCACAACTTTGTCAGCTGAAATCCCCTTTCCTGCTATCATATGGAATGCATTCAGCAACCAATATAAAAATATATATACTCTTTTTCATTAAAAAATGATCACACAATTATTCTTGGCTTAAAAATGAACAGCATCATAACCTAATATTAAAAGCATATACACTACCTTTAACTTTCTGATATTTTATACAGGAGTTCTCTCTTTAGCCAGCACTATTTCTGTGATGTAGTCAACGACCAACAGAGTGAAAATAGAATATTTAATGAATGAGTCTTACCTCTGTCTCTCTGGCTCTCCATCCACATCTTCATCAGCACTGCAGGTGGCACTGGAATCGTTGTCTGATGGGGGCTCAGGCCTTTGTACATTTATTTGCTGAGCCACCACCAAATCATCTCCAGGCTCTGTCTTCTCAATGGCTCTCTCCAGGTCTCTTTCTTTGGTATCACCTTCAACTTGAGATGTACTGTTTTCTGGCACCCCCATTTCAACATCTACAGAGTCTGCTTTGGTAGTCGTGGGGAGATCAAGAACAGAAGTCACTTCAGCACTGTGCTCCTGATGTTCAATATCCATTGGCTCTGCTGTCTCAACAGTGACACTGTTATTCACCTGGGTCTCCACACTTTCATTCTCAGTTGGTTTTGTACTTGGAACTGATGAAGAAGGAGATGCACTGGGAGCAGTTTCAGTGGTACACTCGTGCTCAATTGCAGACTCAGTGTTTCCATGAGAAGTCGAATTTTCAGTGCTATCTTCGCTGGGCTTCACAGCTTCAACTGGTGAAGGAGAAGGAGCACTTTCTGTATCAGAACTATTTTCAGCACCTTAAAGATAATGATACAGCATAAAAATCTGATAATGAACAGGTTTCACGTGGTGACAGAAACCATGCTTGTTAGCAGTTGTTAAGGATGAATTACAATCCTTCAGTGACCTCCCAGAAGAATTAGAGCCATTGGGAAAGCGAGTTTCTATAGAGCATGAAAGGGAAAGATCAGATTGTCTTGACCTTCTGACATTGAAAGTGTAAATGCTTTAAATGTCTAAAAATAATTTATATGGAATTTGAAAAACAAAACTAAACAAAAACGATTCCTATAAATGGTAACTTTCTGGTTTCTGCCAGCCTGTTTCTGTGCTTTTCTTTTACCTAGGAAAGCTGGCACTCTGTAATAGCTGCTTCCGATACAAAGATAATGTGATTGCATTTGTAATTTTAAGTTTTCTTATGGCCACATTAAAAAAGCAGAGATTAATAGTAATATATTTTATTTAAACTAAATTGTCCAAAATATCACTTAAACATGTGATCAATACAGAAAACTAGTAATGCGTTCTATTAACTTTTTTGGTACTACGTCCTCCAAATCTGGTTATATTTTACATTTTTAGTACATCTCAATTTACACTAGTCACATTTCAAGAGCTCAACAGCTACCACACTAGACAGCAAAGCCCTATAATAAAATTACAGATTTCTAACATAATGTTGTAGCACTGGTTTTTCCCCCCACTTCATTTGTATCATTTTATAACTTTTTTTTTGTTAAATCCTCACGTGAGGATATTTTTTCAACTTATCTTCAGAAAGAGTGGGAGGGAAAGAGAGAGAGAAACATTGATGCGAGAGAGAGAGAGAGAGAGAGAGACATCAATTGGTTGCCTCCCGCATGACCCCAACCAAGGCTGGGGACCGAACTGCAACCGAACCCGAGACTCTTTGGTCCACAGGCCAATGCTGTAACCACTTAGTAACTGGTCAGGGCTATAAGTATACTTTTACTTCTTTGACATCTTTACCCAGATATCTCAAAGAAATCACAAATTCAATGTCTTCTTAACGGAACTTGTACTCACTTCCAAATAAGGTCCTTTTTTAGTGTTTACTATTCAATTCAAAAAACAGAAATCGGAAAAAAAATGGCGGCGGAGTGAATGGAGCGACACAGACCATCTCCCAGGACCAAACTGGATTTACAACGAAAAAACAAAAAAAAAAATCATCAGGAAGGGGCAACCGAAAGGCAGCCTGGAGGACCACATAACCATGGACACTGACTCAATCCTGGTAGGCTTGCGAGGACGCGAGAGGGGGCCGGGAGCCCAGGGTCCTCAGCAGCCTGGGCTGGGACCAGCAAACGTGGCTGGGACCAGGGGACTCGGCTGAAATCTGCTGCCTCCTCGGCTGCATCTGTGACCACGGCTGAGTCCTGCGAACTCGGCTGGGTGCTATGCCCTCAGCTGGTGCCGCAGACTCGGCCGCCCTTAGCTCAGAGCAGTGCCCTCGGGTTAAAGTCCCAGGCGGCTCCATGATGCAGAGTCTGGACAGAGGCTAAATTGGCACCAGCCACTCACCTTGGGCTCCGGCAGAGGTAAGGCAGACTTGACTGGAACTCTGTGGGGACACTCGGGATTTGGAGGGTGCTCAGAGCTTTTGCTGAGTCAAGCCACTCAAGACTGTGGTCATCTTACTCCTTCCAAGGGCCCTGGGGAGAGGCGGTGGCCCTTCCCTCGGAGATTCAACCCCACCTGGTGGCCACTGAAATGCTAATTGAGGCCTATTAACAACCAGCATCTGCCCACCCTCGGGAAATCCTCTTACACTGAGCACCTGAGGGAGTTTTTCAGGCAACTCAGAAACCAAGGTTCTTCAGGTGACCTCTACTAATAGCCTAAGGGCAAAAAAAAAAACTAGAGAAAAGTTAAGACTTGACAGTGGTGGTTAAAGTGGGTCCTCCCTGCCTCATCCAAACCCAGGAGACGGAGCCACAAAAGCAGAAGATCAACACCCACAGGGAAAATCTGGCAGACTGCAAAGCCCACTGTGATAGCCAAAATGGTGAAACACAGAAACAAAAGCCAAATGAAAGAACAAGAGACCACTACCAAAGATGAGATAAATGAGGTACACTTAAGCAAGTTAACAGAACTAGAATTCAGAGCCATGATCTTGAGGAAGCTCAACAACATTTGTAAGGACATGAGCACCATGAGTAAAGACATAGAAATGTTGAAAATCAACCAGTTGGAAATTAAAACGGACATATCAGAAATGAAAAACACATTGGAAGGTTAAAAAGCAGAGTAGAGGAAGCTGAGGACCGGATCAGTGAATTAGAACACAGGGTAGAAAAAAAATCAACCAACCAGAAAACCAAAAGGAATATACAATTAAAAAACAGAAAGACGCCCTGGCCAGTTTGGCTCAGCGGTTAGAGCGTCCGCCTGCGGTCTGGAGAGACCCGGGTTCGGTTCCCACTAAGGGCATGTACCTCGGTTGCAGTTTGTCCCCGGCCCAGGTTGGTCGTGCGGGTGGCAGCCACTCGATGTGTCTCTTCACGTCGATGTTTCCCACTCTCTCTCTTCCTCTCTCTCCCTCCCATTCTGTCTGTACAAAAAATGGAAAAATGTCCTCGGATGAGGATTAAAAAAAAAACAAACCAGAAAGACAGCTTAAGAGAACTGTGGGACAACTATAAACGTAATAATATTCGCATCATAGGAGTGCCCGAAGAAGGAGAAAATGAGCAAGGGTTAGAGAATATATTCAAAGAAATAGTGACAGAAAACTTTCCTAATTCGGTGAAGGAAGAAGGCATTCAAGTTCAAGAAGCACAAAGAGCCCCAAGTAAGAAGAACCTAAACAGGCCCACACCAAGACACATAGTAATCAAACTGCCAAAAATTAAAGACAAAGAGAGAATCCTAAAAGCAAAAACAGATCAGCAACAGGTTTCCTACAAAGGAAGCCCCATAAGGCTCTCAGCTGACTTCTCATAAGAAACACTAAAGGCCAGAAGGGAATGACATGAAGTAATCGAGGTCATGAAAAACAAGGAGCTGAATCCAAGACTACTCTACCCAGCAAGGCTATCATTCAAAATGGAAGGTCAAATAAAGAGCTTCCCAGACAAAAAAATGGCTAAGGGAATACATTAGCACCAAACCAGCACTGCAAGAAATGTTAAAAGGACTGCTGTAATTAGCAGGAGAAATGGCAAGAAAAATAAAACCACACTAAACAAAAATGGCAATAAATAAGTACATATCAATAATCACCTTAAATGTAAATGGATGGAATGCTCCCATAAAAAGACACAGAGTAGCTGATTGGATAAGAAAGCATAACTCATCTATATGTTGTTTACAAGAGACCCACCTCACAACAATAGACTCACATAGATTGAGAGTGAGGGTATGGAGAAAAACTTTCCAAGCAAACGGAAAGGAAAAAAAATCTGGGGTAGCAATACTCATATCTGATAAAATAGACTTCAAAATGAAGGCCCTAACTAGAGACAAAGAAGGCCACTACATAATATTGAAAGGATCTATCCAACAGGAAAATATAACCTTGATAAACATATATGCACCCAATATAGGAGCACTAAAATATATTAAAAATCTTCTGGAGGACTTCAAAGGAGAAATCGACAGCAATACAATCATAGCAGGGGACTTCAACACCCCGCTGACATCAATGGATAGATCCTCTAGACAAAAAATTAGCAAGGAAACAGAGACTCTAAATGAAGCACTAGACCAAATGGATTTAATAGATATCTACAGAGAATTACACCCCAAAACTACAGAATTCACATTCTTCTCAAGTGCACATGGGACATTCTCAAAGATAGACCACATGTTAGGGCACAAACACTCTCAAAGACAGACCACATGTTAGGGCACAAACTAAGTCTATATAAGTTCAAGAAGACTGAAATCATATCAAGTATCTTCTCAGATCACAATGGCATGAAACTAGAAATCAACTGCAACAAGAACATGCAGACACTTGAACACATGGAAGCTAAATAGCATGTTATTAAACAATGAATTGGTCACCGAGGAGATCAAGGAAGAAATCAAAAACTTCATGGAAAACAATGAAAATGAAGACCCAACAAGACAAAATCTATGGGATGGAGCGAAAGCAGTTCTGAGAAGGAAGTTCATAGCACTACAGGCCTACCTCAAAAAAACAAGAAAAATCTCTAATAGACTATCTAACCTCACAACTTTAAGAACTAGAGAGCAAACAAAAAGAAAACCCCAGAGCAAGTAGAAGGAAGGAAATAGTAAAGATCAGAGCAGAAATAAATGACATAGAGACCAAAAAAAAACAATTCAAAGGATCAATGAAACAAAGAGCTGGTTTTTCGGAAAGATAAACAAGATTGATGGACCCTTAGCTAGACTCACCAAGAAACAAAGAGAGAGAACCCAAATACACAAAATCAGAAATGAAACAGGAGAAGTAACAACTGACACTACAGAAATACAAAAGATCGTTAACAACTACTATGAACAATTATATGGCAACAAATTCGACAATCTAAGAGAAATGGAAAAATTTCTAGAAACACATAGTCTCCCAAAACTAGATCAGGAAGAGATAGAAAACTTGAACAGACCAATAACAACAGAAGAAATTGAAGACGCAATCAAGACTCTCCCAGCAAACAAAAGCCCAGGCCCAGATGGCTTCACGGGGGAGTTTTACCGAACATTCAAAGAAACACTAACACCCATTCTCCTCAAACTATTTCAAAAAATTCAAGAAGAAGGAAGACTTCCAAACTCGTTTTATGAAGCCAGCATAATTCTAATTCCAAAACCAGAAAAAGACACTACAAAGAAACAAAACTACAGGCCAATATCCCTGATGAACATAGACGCCCAAATCCTGAACAAAATACTAGCAAATCAGCACCAGCAATACACCAAAAAAAATATCCACCATGACCAAGTGGGATTCATCCCAGGGATGCAAGGCTGGTACAATATTTGCAAATCAATAATCGTGATACAGCCCTGGCCGGTT